TGAGAGGAAGGGAAGTTGCATGTCCCCCCCATACCCAGAAGTGTCAGAAGCTTCATGACCTTTAGTTAAAACGTTTTATAAAGAAATATATTATATGCTATACCTTCCTCCAGGGCGAGCAGCTTAAAAAGGAACCTATCAAGTACAGAAATATAGGAGGTGCCCTTGTTCAGTTTTGAAACTGCATGTTCAGAGCCTGGCATGTCAAAATATTTTTTTGTAAGAAATCCCTTCTATGTGATGTATCTCTGCTTCAACCAAAGTTTGAATTAACTTTTTTTTGCCTTGATTGATGTATAAAAAAATATCAGGGTATGGTAATGGTTTCACGACATTCTCTATATGTATAGTGTGTTAAGTATAAATAGTGCACAGTATACATAGAGCACAGTGGCATAGCGGTTAGCGCTTCTGTCTTGCAATATCGGGGGTCCCTGGTTTGAATCACAGCCAGGTCACTATCTGCCAGGAGTTTGCATGTTCTCCTTGTACTTGTGTGGATTTCCTCTGGGCACTTCTGTTTCCTTCCACACTCCATAGACATGCTGATATACTAAATTGCCAAAAGTATTGGGACGCCTGCCTTTACACGCACAGGAACTTTAATGGCATCCCAGTCTTAGTTTGTAGGGTTCAATATTGAGTTGGCAGATATAACGGCTTCAACTCTTCTGGGAAGGCGTCCACAAGGTTTAGGAGTGTGTCTATGGGAATGTTTGACCATTCTTCCAGAAGCGCATTTGTGACGTCAGGTACTGATGTTGGATGAGAAGGCCTGGCTCACAGTCTCCGCTCTAATTCATCCCAAAGGTATTCTATCAGGTTGAGGTCAGGACTCTGTGCAGGCCAGTCAATTTCCTCCACCCCAAAGTCGCTCATCCATCCATAGCAAGGAAATTTCATGGAACACCTGAATCCAATGATTTGGAGGGGCGTCCCAATACTTTTTATAATACTGTATAGTGTAATTGGCTCCTGTCTCAATTGGCCCTCCTATGTATACATGTATGATAGGGACGTTAGATTGTAAGATCCTTGAGGGCAGGGATTAATGTGTAATGTGTTGGCACTGTATATAAATAAGAATTATTTCTCAGTAATTGTCCCTTGCCGATTCAGTTATATCAATGCAAGGCTAGCAGACATGGTCTACTTGACTAAAAATAAAACTGTCTGCAGTCTCTAGTGAAATACCTTCAAGTCTTCTGGTGGTTAAAGATCATGTGATTAAAGCTGCCTAGACTTTAGGCCGAAAAAGAAATTTTGATTCAGGGGCACATTTTATTCATGGCAAAAAAAGAGGTACCTTTTAACTCAATAGTGGAAATTGGTTAAAAAAAAACCCTATGGGTATGGCCCCATAGATTCATTTGAAATATGATTTTTTTATCCAGTCTATTTTAACTGATACTAAGTAGGGGAGCAGACATTTTAATATTGTATCCTTCAACATATCCAGAGACACCAGATAACTATTTAAATGTTTTATTTCTACTTTTACTTTAGTTATGTAAACTGTCATCAAATGCCTAGGCCACTATAAACATTGATTTGTAAATATTTAGACATCTGTAGTACACTCGAAACCTACGCGGCAGAATATCTGCATGACAGGACCGACAATAAAAAGAAATGCATCTGTGATACATCTAGATGTGCATTCTGCTTTCCACAACTGTCCTGCTAGGAGCACAAGAGATTGAGAAATAGATGAGTCTTATCCTATCTCACGCAGAGGCTCCCTTCCTACTGCAGCTCCTGACCTGTTTCTTCAGTGATTACATTTCCTGAGAGTTCTGTGCGATACAGAAATCCTAAACTGTGCCTTCTGATACTAAAGACACAAAGCCAGACAAAGTACTTATAGTGGATCAATATCTATAGAACAAAATGAAGCTTTAAATGTACTGCGGTGAAACGTTTCTTGATACATAGATAGTACTTTTGTATTAAAAAAAAAAATTTACTATTACATCACATTCAAATCTATAAACTACCGCGTTTCCCCGAAAATAAGACAGTGCGTTATATTTTTTTTCTACGAAAAAAGACACTAGGTCTTAGAACTACCACCGAACTAGGTCTTATTTTCGGGGTAGGTCTTATATTACAGAAATCCCTGAACATAGTGCTAGGTCTTATTTTCGGGGTAGGTCTTACTTTCGGGGAAACACAGTAATTGTATGCTTGTTGGAAGTATCATAAAAAAAAACATTTACTGAGATACTGCACAAAGATGACACGTTTTTCCCTTTTTTTTTGCTTTTTCAGGGCTGGGCTAAATTATATACATACAATTTGTATTAAATAGGAGGCTGGTGTATGAAGGATGATTGTCCTGTGCATGGGTCTGCACCACCAGTTCCTCTGATCTTGGACAACTTGAGTGATCAGATATTGAAGTTAACCAGATGCCAATTGTACAAATAGCTCTCTTGGACACTTTACTATATTTGGGTGTCTTTTCTGGACACTATTTCTGCCAAAGACTTCACATGAGTATGTGTCTTGACTTCCTGACAATCACATGGGTTAACTTTATGGTGATGGTATTCCCAAAAAATTTATATCCTATAGATTTGATTCATATTGTATGTACATAATTGAGCCCAGTCCTGAAGAAGCAAAAAATCATGAACCGCATCAATGTTCCAGATCTTCAGAACTGCGCTCAATTATGGATTAGATAATCAACAGGTCTAAACAGAATGAATAGGAAAACTATCAGGTTCTCAAACACAAGGAAGCCATAGTTTAAGCAAAGATCAAGCCATCTAAGCATAGATGGTGTAGAGGAATAAGGAGAAAAATAGTTGGGGTACGCAGGGGGTTCTTACTTGCATATGTTTAAACCATGCATAGAAGTCAAAATGTAGACCAGGATCAAGGCCAAAATTCACAGCAAAAGTTAGCGTAGATGGAGTTAAAATATAAACAGATAAACGATGGTTGGCAAAAAGGACAAACATAATCATAGTATTAGACTCAAAAGTGAAACTAACCCTACAATAGACTCTATTGTCGATTTCCATGCAAAGGTCAGTCAGATGATCAAGATGAGTGCTGAAACACACCAATAAACATATATGCACCTGTGGACATGCTAAATGTACAAGCATGTTCCAGTCTCCTGCTGCATGCACCATGTTGAGGATCACATAAATAGTACACAGGTGCACATTTTGAGGCCCAGAGGCAGCTATGGATATATGGGAGGAGTCTAACTAAGAAAGAGGCACTGGGAGAGAAGCTGACAGGAACTTAAAGGTTGCAGGTAACCCCCTTAAAGAAGGATGTGACATTGTGAGCAGAAATAAGGAAAACCAGATGAAATTATAAAACTGATGCAATACAGAAGTGTAGGAGTGATGCCCTAATATACTAGATCCTCAGCTTGAGATACACCAACTGTCTCAAAAGGGACAGATGTATAAGCAGCCATTTAAGTGGGCTTTTAAAAGGTAGGCTATAATTGTCCGAAGTACAATGGCTACCTGGTTCTTGAGATGGCATGTCTTAGAAAATAGCAGTCCTTCAGTTAGAGGACCCATGCACTCTCCACCCCGTCCTGAACCCCTCTCCGCAATACATTTATAAAACGTATAATGCATACCATTAGGGATGGTCAGATACCAGTACCTGTATGGGTGCCGATATTCTGCATTTTCACGAGAACTAACAGGGTCGCAGTGCTTGCAGCTGCGATTGGGCCTGGCGCTCCACCACTGTTCTAAAATCATTAGTCTGTAATAATTCAGAAAAAACTGTCACATGACACTAAAAAAAGGTATCAGTAATTGGTATTTGAGTACTTGGACAAGTATCTGTACTTGGTCTCTCGGTCTGGTAAAAATGGTATCAGTAGTTGGAGGCATTAGAGACAGACTTTACAGATGAGGAGTTTACGAAAGCATTGCACACGATGGCCACGGGCAAGGCTCCTGGCCCGGATGGATTCACACTCACGTATTACCGCACTTTCAAAGATATCCTGATACCTCACCTGACCGAATATGCCAACTCCCTCACCTCGGGCGAGGAGCTACGGCAAGAAACAACCCTAGCGCATATTACAGTCCTGCCCAAGCCGGGGAAGGACCCCACCTGCTGCCCCAGTTACAGGCCTATCTCGTTATTGAATGTGGATATCAAACTGTACTCGAAGGCCCTGGCACTCCGCTTACAGCCTTTGCTACCTAAATTTGTATCCCCGGATCAAACCGGATTCATTCCGGGAAGGGAAGCTAGGGACAACTCGATGCGCACCCTACATGTAGTGTCCTGTGCCGGCGGGAGGTCCCAGGCCACACTCTTATTGTCAACGGACGCGGAAAAAGCTTTCGACAGAGTTGTCTGAGACTTCATGCTGGCGACGCTGGGTGCCATGGGGTTGTTCAAATGATGCACAAATCCCAGGAGCCCCGTAGCCAATGCTCCTTAAAAACGGCAGCTGCCTACTAACTTTTGAGATTTTCTCTAGTCTAGTCTATCAATGGAGCTGGAAAAGTATCAGTACTTGTACAGCTACAGTACAATACTTGGTATCTGAACATCCCTGCACATCATAATTCTAGTTATCCTAAATATAGTGAAATAAAGTGCAGAGATGGATGTCTTTCTTCGGCCCTATTTATAGTGGTGTTTCTTGACAGCCCAGCTTCATAGGAAGAAGATTGAGTGGTTTGGGCATTATTGCACCTAAAAGAGGATCGTCCAGCAGGATTGGAGGACGATCGTGGAATGTGGAAATGGTAAATAGTGTTTTACATACTTTTTTTTTCCCCAAGAAGAGTGAAAAGTGTGCAAAACAAAAAATAAACAAGAGTTCCGGATAAGTTAAAGCATGGTACGTGGTACAGTTTAACAAAGTCTAGAAATGATTCAAGGCATTTACAGTATGAGCTATGTGGACTAAATGTAAAAATTTTAACATTTCTTCTGTTGCATCAATTTTACTTCTACTACATATTTATGAAAACGTTTACAGACCAGAAGCATACCTTGCTGACAGTTCTTAGTATTATGCAGTAGTCTTTCCCTCGTTCTAAGGGAGCATTATAAAAGTCTCCATAGTATTGCCTGTCCCCAACCAAGAGATCCAGATGTTCAGGGGTGTCTTCGGGGAAGAACTCAGCAGTGACGTAACCTTGTGTCTTGGATATATTACTGAAGTATGTCACAGCTTCCAAAGACTCGCACGTAAAGGAACACCGAGACATCGACTGAATCACAAACACCTGGTATGACCTGTAAAAAGCAAAGTGGTAATGCTAAGCTTCAATGAGGAACAACTGTTCACTGAGTAGATGACTTCCAGGTCATCTTGTATTTTGAATTGCCAACAAAATCATGTCATCATTAGATTAATCTCATTAATCTAATTTTCCCAACATCTTATGTCAGTGAATCTGCTCTTGTCAAGTATCTTTAAACTGCATTGAGTGAAGACTTCTTGGGGAAGCCATGCATAGTCTGATATTTAAAAGAGTTGAGATTGATCTGAGCACTTGTTATGATGACTGACTATTGAGTGTTAAATGTGTTCATTAAAGGAAAATAATAAGTGCTTCTTTATCATGATTATTATCGGATAAATATTTTCTAGCATGGTGGAAAATCTTTAGTTAACCAACTGCCAATATTTATGTTTATAAAGAAAGGGGAACAAGAGCTTCACTGTTCACGAACAGGTTTCCCAAGTTAAGGAGAAGATTGTGACAGGTCCAGCCTCTCCTATAATGCAAGAGAGTGGGAAGACAGGCTACCAACTCGCACAGTCAACAAGATGTTAGCCATCTAGCTCCAGCCTTTTACTTTAGTGTGAAAACAAAGGCCAATGGTAGCAACCAGAACTGCATTTACATTTCAGGAGCCTATAGGCAGAGAAGATATAGCACCCTGAAATGTCCCAAGTAACACCCCACACTTTATATATTATTTACATTATTTGTATAATTTTTGTTTTTACTTTGCTTTTTATTTACTTACAAGTCCAACTCAAAGAAGAACATTTTATTTGATGTTAAAATAAAGAGAATGTTACATAAACATAATCTGCTTTTTCATGTCCATCGAAATGCAGAACCCCTTCTTCTACATTCAGGCCTATCATGGGTAGCAACCTCTGTGATTGTGCCTTTGTCTCTTGGCAGTGATGTGAAGCTTAAAGAAGCAGTCATAAACTGTCAGATAGACTAAATACTGGGAATGCAGGCTCCCTTTGTCCAGATGATATGCATACACATCACAATGTGCGAACATCCTTTGCATCATGATAAGTTATCCCTATCAGTGCTGTGTGTCCTTAACAGGATCGCATAAGAAGCTCGAAGCAGGAACTCCAGGATGTTACAACATTTAGCAGAGAATGTATAGTACTTATACCTGTAACTTTACCCTTCAACCAGCTTTTCCAAGTGGCAGAAGGAAAGGGAAAGCAGCAACTCGCAACTGGATACCAATATTAATCAATATCCCTGTGCCAAGGGAAACCCAAGAAGGCACCTACTCAGTGGCGACTCTAGGAACAATATATAGGGGGGGCACATAAGATACCACAGTCAAAATGGGGGGGCACTAATAATTTTCACCACTAAATCATACCACTGAAAATAACTGAACAAGAAATCACAGGGCCCCATAGCAAAGTTGTGCATGGGCCCCCCTCCCACTTCACCAGAACCCATTGGTTCACAACAGAACTTGGGGAAACAATAGTGAGATAAGGTTTTCTAACCTGTCCAACTACTTTCTCTAAAAAAAAGTTTTGGATGTTTCCTGAGGAACACTATTGACATGGGATTATCACTGAAACTAGCCACAAACATTCCCATATCATACCTTATTCCCAAAAAACACCCCACCCCCCTCTTCCCACCCAAGCAAAACTGGAACCTCCCTAAGTGCAACATATTGGAGAAATGAAATTGTAAGCACCCAATTTATAGCTAAAGTACAAGATTGGAAGGTTAATGTACTAACTAAAACATACATCTATTAGTTCAGTAAAACAGATGTGATGGTTTGCATACATTTGCAGATATATGAACCACATGGCATACAACCATGGACCATAAAGTATAAGGCACCTTGGAAATTCTTATCTGGTCCTTCTTGTTTGAGACATTTACATAATTCCTCTACCTTGGTTGAAAGGGCAACATGGATAGTTACTATATTGTTGAGTGGGTTAAAATTTCTCAGGAGATAGCTATATGCAAGGACAATATACTGTATATTAGATTTATGTCACTTTTTGCTTAAAATATGTTGAGTTCTTTGTTCATTTTGTGTTCACTTTTGAGCAGCCCTTTTTATCATGTCATTGGATAATTTACTATAAAGTGCTATCATCCTTTTACCTGCTTAAAATATAAGCAGCAACATTATTTATATGAGAGCTTATGCTTATTGGAATATCAGAATTGACCTCTTTGTAGGTGCATGGGTGGCTTTAATATCTCATCTATTCTCAATTATAATCTAATGTAAAAACCACACAGATATATGCAGTAATTAATTAAATAGAACAGAAAAAAATGATGAGGAGGGAAGCGCTACCACCAAGAGGTGACCTGTCAGGAAATGTGGGTCCACGTAGGGTGTGGACCTAATGGGTTGGTAAATTTGGGCTGTGAAAGATAAGATATGTGTAGTGGCTGGGACAACTCCAGAGGTGGCTGGTATCGTGTTATCCGAAGGATGGCAGAAGCAATCAGAACGTGATATAAAAATGGTGAAAAAAAAGAGAAATCAGAAACACGATGGTCAAATGTGTGGTAATTATTAACTCACCGTGAAGTAAGTGGTGACGCGATGTCATCAACGAAAGGTTGAGGTGATTTTCTTGGAATCCTAGGTGTTGTGGTAGGGTGAAATTCCGGGTTGATTGATTCACTTTGAAGGGGAAAAAGTGATGTCCAGGTATTGTACAGATACTTAGTGATTCTGCATTGGTAAAAGCGTTGCGTACTGTATTGAGGTGATGGTAGTGAACAAAATTGTCCTGAGCTAATTGCAGGGAATGCTGTGATGGTTTAGCCCCAGTGGCGAGAAAAGGGGTCGGTAATTCCGGTAATATTCCGAGCTTCTGATGGGTAAACCCCCTGAGGCTCCAGGTGTGTGGCCAGTGAGATCTCTTACTGGTGGGCTGGGGGCTTTCAGCGCTCAGTTCCGCAGGCGAACAGATGTAATTAGCTCAGGACAATTCCACCCTACCACAACGCATGACACGATAACAGGATCCCAGCCACCACACATATCTTATCTTCCAAGGCCCAATTTTACCAACCAATTTGGTCCACACCACACTTGGACCCACATTTCCTGACAGGTCACCTCTTCATGGTAGCGCTTCCCTCCTCATAATTTTTTCTGTTCTCTTTGACAAACATCGGACACCCCGGTCCGCACATACGAGAAGCAGGACACCAAGTAGCAACTTCTGTATCCACATGTTCCCACCTTCGAAAAAGCGCTGTAAACTTTTCAGCAATTAATTAAATACATATTATGTATTCTAAACATTTCTGCTATTGGAAACTATAGAGGAAGGTTCACTTAAAGAAGAACTCCAGGATGCTTTGGGAAAAATAAGTGTTGTGTAAAACTTACACTGAACTCAGTGATGCTCTTCTTGATACATGGTGCTTTAACCCTGAACAAATACTTACATGTAAGACCTAAATTCAAACTAGATTACACTTCTAAAAAAATGAGAAACAAGTGAAATCTGCTAGCATACCAACCTCTGGGGAAACAACTGCCCACAGATTCCCCCATACTTTATTTAAATAAGTGTCTGCAATAAACAGTTATGTAATGACTGTGCAAGGCAGAGCAGTTGGTGGTTTATTAGCAACATGAGTAGTTTTGTTGGTTTGGAAAGACATTTACCTGACGTGTCCATGCTTGTCTGATCTCTGAAAGCTAATTTTAGGTAACTGACTGTTTACTGGCACAGTTTTCACTTTAGGGAGTGGTGGTTCTGAAATAAATAAAATGCAGGACAAATCTTTTAAATAGTATAAAAGAAAGCAAACACATTTCTGCTTCAAATCGTTTTTACAGAACATATCCAGGTATAACAATAAAGTGGTAACATACTGGATGATGGCAATAGTTCGCATATCAAAGTTAAAGGGGCAGCCACCGAGCCTCACCCATTTGCTATATAAACAATAATCTTGACCATAGACTGTTATCATAATGATTATATTCTGACTCCAATTGTTGTATTAGCAATTTATCCCTTGCTGAGACCTCTATGTCTGGCCTGTATAAGCAGATAAAATCACTGCGGACAATCCTTATGTTTATTTTATATTCCAGTACAGCAAAGTGAAAACCCGATTAATAGCTGGAAGTAATAACCAAAGTCTGCTTTTTCACAAAACAACCAAACAGTTGAGAAATGTTTAGGTAACTATTCACACTTTGCGGTTCTGGTACATTGTGTTAAGGCAGCCTATTCATTTAAACTAGTGCACTATCAAGCGTTGTGGTGTGTTGGATTAAAGCATTAAAGAGCCAGTGAAAATGAATTGGTTGGCATCGCAGCGCGCTGGCGTACATGATGCACTGTACTGCAGAGGTTTGAATGGACCCTAAATGTATGCAAGATGGTATATATTTAGAACTACCTAAGGGTACGATCCTAAAATAGATAACTACAGATGTCCCCTTGATAAACCAACAAAATGCAAGGTATCATAATAGTAGGAGTAATCCTTATTTTATTAATTATTAATTTACAAAGTGCTACATAATCTGCTAAATAACAAGTTAACTTTGTGGCATTTTGCCAGAGAATTAGGAAATATTAAATGTTTTCTAATATACTGTAAATGGTTTCTATTAATGTATGTGTAGGGACATTGAATGTCACGATGCAAAATGTCATGAAATTCTGCACTTTGTAGCCTTATATAAAGGCACAGTGCCATCTAGTGTGTAAGTGCTGTATTACTATAATACGATTGTACTCACTAGAAACACAGAAAATCAAGATACTGCATTTGATTTAGAAAAAAAAACAAAAACAGATCGCAACAAAGATTTCCTCAACAACAAACACAAACTTAAAGTGACACTAAACTGAGGAGGTAAATCTTAAAAATGCATTCAAGTATCTTAACTAGTAACAAAAATGTATCTTATTTGTGGGTCACTCAGCTGTAGATCCTCAAATCATCTCTGAATTAGTGCTGACATTGTCCTTCCTTCTGGAGTATGGCTACTTTTGTTCCCCATGGTCCCTGTGTGTGTTGTAAAGCAGCCACCGCTCCAAGCTCACTCCTGTTATGGACTACAATCTCAATATAAATGAGTAAACTAAATGCTTTTGAGCGCATTTTTGCCGCACATGCGTTAAGTCGTGCTTTTCAGATGGCAGATTGTGACATATTAGTGTAAACCAGCAAACGCGCGTGAAAGACGTGCAAAGGAAACAAATGTCTATCGCACTCATCAGTCCATAACTAGCTTTTAAAGTAAGGTGCACATGGAAGGGTTTTACACAGTACAAAAACAGACATTTTCCAGCACACTCATCAGCCAGCCTGCAAAAAAATTACCCTGTCTAACTATTAGAGTTAAAAACCAAGGTTTTAGTTGCACAACTTTTGCAAAATATGTGGAAGCCACACTGCCACGTCAAGGCCCCTTTGTGTAGTGTGGTCCTAACTCTAAACTATGAGGGCCTCCATCTAAGAGCATATACAGCAAAGGATAAATTGAGTGCAGGTTTGCCAGGAGGTAGCGCAAAACCACTCGTGTCAGCAGCAGCTGGTGATTTACAGCTCGCGACAAAATGCTCAGATGTGAACAAGGAATGAATAGGAATTAATGGGATTTCTTGTTTTGCACATTGTGTCATGTGATGTCAGGTTTGTGCATAACAAAATGCTTAGGTGTGAACGGGGACTTTGGCAGATAACAGCGCGTTTTATCCTCATAGACTCAATGGGAAACGCCTGGAAACGTGTGACACAAGCGGTTTTGGCACTTTCGTGCCCATTTTATGCTCGTTTGCTGGTTTACACTAAAATATCACAATCTGCCAGCTAAAAAGAAACACACAAAAATGCTCAAAAGAACTAGACATAAACGTGCACAAACACTGTCACCTAGGTGTGAATGGGGACTTAGATGGTTACAGTGATTTCCAAGCAGGGTTTATACATTCAACCACTGCACAGCCTTTTTAAGTTAGACACTCTCAGTAGGTAAAGGGCTGGGCCATCAGGACAGATGTACTGTATATAGTTTATACTTATAGCTACCTGCTCTGGTTGAAACTTTTCTGAGTTATCGAAGTTCAGAAAAAAATATTAGGTACATGTCCTGTGTCTGGTGGTCTGTGTTCAGTGCCACATTTCAGACAGTTAATTCCCTCTATTTTAAATCTAGTATTATTTTTATTTTATTACCGTTAGTGGTTAATGTTTACATGCTGCTTTTTTAGTGCTCAGCTAATGTATGTGTGCTTCTTTTTTAAAAGTATACACTGACACATAAATTGGTATTCTGGCAGCTGTAAACCTCATTACTTCTATCAGTTTTCTAAATCTCTCTTCATGAAACTGTTCTCAGGCAAAACAAAGGACACTTATGAAATTTAGTCTGACCTGATCTATTTAAACAGGCTATTGCACACCACTCAATGCACATTTTTAATTACACATAATATGATTTGTACATTGCAGCTGTTTGGTGCGGACTCCGTTCATAGGATTATAACCTATTTACCATCTTTTATTTCTTCATAATTACCTTACACAGCCTAGTGCCTTATCTCCGCTTATCCCAAAACAGTACAGAAAAATTAGATATTCTGGATCTTTATTTGATCATTATGCTGATTTGTAAAGAGTTAATTACTGATAATTACTAATTATGATACTTTCACTGTTACCCTTCAGCTTTTCACATAGAATATAAGAAATGGACAATGATAACAAAAAAACAAAAAGCATCTGTAGTAGATGAGGCATATAAATATTTTGCCAGTCATGGGGTTGCACATGAAATGGCCAACAGTCTCCCTTTTCACATAGAATATAAGAAATTGATAATGATAAACATGAACAAAAAAGCAGCTCTAGTAGTTGAGACATAAATATGCTGTATAATTAGAAGGCAGTTAGGAACCATACAGGAAGTGTCTAAATAAGGGCTTTTATCACCGGGTGTTTTTTTTAATAAAGCTGCAGTTTTAAAAAGACTGAAAATGACATTTGAAATTACTTTAACATGTTATGGATTAAATGAGATTTTAGTGATTGCGTTTTGAATATACTTTAAGATGGCATTCCAGCCCAGGTTTTCTCATATATCAGGCTTTGTAGGCTAGGTTCCCTTTGGAAATATTCCTCTCACTTCCTGCCCTTGTGACCACTACCCAAGGAGAAAGAAGTGAGGGTAAATTGCGAAACAGAGAAAACAGTAAAAGGCTTACATTTTCCCCACTCTGCTTACAAAACTTGTCCTTATTGCTGTCTGTGACCCACTGATGATATTTGAACTCGCTTTCAACCTCAATAGAAGTCTCCTAACCCTACCCCGTCATCTCCAGCTGCTCACATTTCAGCTAGTAGCATGGGCTCCCTTCCTTCAGTTTTTATGGCCTATGCTTAGTTCTTCCAGCTCTTCCTTGTTAGTACCACTTACTTTGTCAGCTTGTTGTTGCCTTTTCCAAACTTTTTTGAGAAGTGTTGCTGCCATCAATTTCAAAATTACCTTATTTTTTTCTTAAAATTGTAAATGTTCTCAATTTGAACATTTGGTATGTTTTCTATTTTCTATTGTGAATAAAATATGGGTTTGTGAGATTTACAAATCATTAGATTCTGTTTTTATGTAGATTTTACACAATGTCCCAACGTGTTTGGAATTGGGGTTGTAAAATAAATTACATATTATAACTACAAATTACTTTTTAGAAACAAAACCCAAAATTATTGTACAGACTCACTCAACAGTATGTAACCACTTTTACAAGGCTGCACTTTTAGAGGGAGAAACCAGGCAGGATTATAATTAAGAAATTGAGATTAGAGTGTATTATTTCACAGAAAATAATTCAGATGTATTGCACAGACTCACTATACAGTATGTAATGAGCTTTAGTAATTTAAAATGGAAACTTGAGGCAAGAGGCTTTTTACCAAGTAATCAAAATTAGAATGTTTTATTTCACAGAAATAAAAAGCCAAAAACAGAGTACTGACTCAATGCACAGTATTTAAGCCCTTTTACTAGAAAGCATTTTAAACAGGACAGACACCAGTCAGCTTTTAATTAAAATATCAACATAAGGGTATATTTATTTCACTGAAAAAACATTGTAGCTAGCACGTGCACATTCTTTACACACTTCTGTCTTTGCAAATCTGGCCGATGTGGGTCAGTAGGAGCCACATCGGCCAGATTTTAATTAACAAGATAGACATTAGAGTGTATTTATTTCTCTGGAAAAAACCCCGGAAAATATTGTAGTAAGTGCACAGTCTTAAACACTTCGAGAAAGTCACATTTTTAATAGGATCCACAACAGCCAGCTTTTAATAAAACAATAACATTAGAGTGTATTTATTTTACTGAAAAAAGTCCCCAAAATTATTGTAGTGAGTGCATGCACAGTCTTTAAACACTTTAACTATGCTGCTTTTTCAAGAGGACCCACGTGAGCTGTTTTGTTAATCAAGAAATCAACATAAGAGTTTATTTATTTTACTGAAAATATTGTAGTGAGTGCACACTCTTTACACCCTTTCACTAAGCCAATTTGTCAAAATGAACCCCACCAGGCAGCTTTTTATTATAAAATCAACACTACAGTGTATTTCTTTCACTGGAAAAAGCCCCAAATTATCATAGTGGATATGTGTACAATCTTTAAAGACTATGACTAGGTTGCTTTTTTAACAAGACCCACACCAGCCAACCATTAATTTAAAAAAATAAAGTATATTTCAAGGGGTAGGGGATCTAACAGCTGAAGTTGTAGCTGATGACACACACAACATATATCTCTCCCTGCTAATACTTTGTTATATTTGCATAATCGGCTAAAGGACTGCCCCACACATGGTGTTTCTGTGACTCATTAAAATAAAAAAGTTTTTAGCAATCGCCAGTAGACTCCAACTTTACCTGGAGATGCTTTGTGATCTCTCCCTAATCTGCTACAGGATTGTCTAAAACACTGAGAGTGTCTGTGACTCAATATAAATATAGATGTTTTAAGCAAGCAGCAGCAGCACGACCATCTAGGTCTCCTTCCATACAGTCCGTGATCTTTGCCCAACTACTCCATTTCCGTGGGATCCAGAATTATTATTGGTTGGTAGTGGATCAAATACTTATTTTACTCACGGAACTACAACTCAATTTATAACATTTGTATCATGTGTTTTTTCAGGATTTTTGGTTTATATTCTGTATCATTTAACCTATGATAAAAAAAATTATAGACCTTTCCTTTGTTTGTAAGTGGGCAAACTTCCATAATCTACAGGGGATCAAATAATTATTTGCGCAACTGTATGTATTCCAGTGCTTTCAATTACACTTGAGGGTTTTCTTTTATCTGATACATACCAACTGCATATTTGATCTTCATTTTAAATTTAAATACTTTTATAGCTTTGGAAAAGTATTACTCTAAACATATTTTACTAAAAAAAAATTCAACATTAAAAGTGTATTTTTCTACAGTAACTTGTGTGCATGTTCCATCTATAATTTATTGCAGAATTGGGCGGACTTGGACATAAATTAAACTATATAACTGCAGTGCCTGTCTGACCACATTTTGACCTTGGGCTGTGATTCTGTATGGGCTTTAGCCTTGGAGAGCAAGAACTCATTAGTATACACAATGGAAAACAAGGATATTTTTGGTTCATCAAAGACTATCAAAGAGTTGTTTGTTGTACCCTCATGCCCATGTGACTTTCAACCAATAATTTATTGGCAGTAAATAGCTACATTCTTCTCTCAAACTTTGATTGGATCATTGCTCAAGTGCCTACCACAATCACCTACGCAAAGCTGCTCTTAGATCATTTATAGGTCACATGGCCACAAACTTTGAATTATATTGTGCTCTCCTTGTGAGATAAAATTCTACAAGTCACTTTAGTTATTTTGAATAGTGAGAAGAACCTATGATTGACATAAGGACTTTGAATGCAGTTGGTTCCCAAACTCTTCTCTTTGATGACTTTGAATGCAGTTGGTTCCCAAACTCTTCTCTTTGATGGTATCTGTCATTAACAACCTAGTCAGAGTGTGCACATTTACATGCATATTTATATTCATGCTGTAGTTTGTACTCTCATGTGCTTAAACCTGTGAGATTGTGCATGCACATAGGTCATCCGAGGTTCGTTTCTAAATAAAGCATACAAATTCATACCACCAAAGCAAAGAAGAGCGGGCAAGAACATCAGAATGTGCAAATGTGGATTGATTAAAGTCATCGGTCAACAGGGTCTTTTAAAAAAAAAAAAGAATTACTCATTGCTATTATAGACTTGGTACTGGCTTGCAAAACTTTTTAGAATGCTCTCTAAACCAGGAAACATTATATTTTCTCTTTAACATCTATCATTTATGCAAAAACACTGTGCTAATATACTGTTTAAATCATTCCTATAAAAAATAGACCTTTGAAAATATACCTGATATTGTAGAAAGGATGCTGATTTGTGCAGGGTATTGAGAGTAAGAAACTGACATTATTTCCACTGTATAGTTTGTCTCCTTTTGTAGGTCTAGGCATACAACAGGATGTGCTTTATCTGTGCTGATATTAAAAATGAGGATGTGCTTGAAGTCTTTCTGATGCCATTTGTGCCCATGGGCAGAAATCTACAAGACAGCAGAAAACAGTAATGCAAAAAGGAAAAGATCTGGCAAGGTTTATATCAGCTACTCTACTAAAGAAAAGCATGTTTATTTCTGTCTGTGTTGCTATTGGAAAGTTTTTAGATACCTGATTTTAGAGCCAAGCAAATCATAGCTCGTGAGAGGGGCCAGCAGGGTGCTGTACATGAAAAGGGAGACCAGGGACAGTATGTCTGAAGGAAAGTGCTAGATGCTAGACGTCCACCAGCCAGGAAATGAGGCTCTTTCTGACATGCTTCAGTTTCTAATGCATACTTTAAATGCTGGACGTCCACCACCCAGGAAATGAGGCTCTTTCTGACTTGCTTCAAAAAGCTCACAATGTGCAATGTAAGCAATTTTAGCACAGGATTGGAGCCTGTACAACTGTGTAATACATATGTAGCTAAATGCATAAGTGGTAACTCAGCCCAACAGTGCCAAACCCCATTATATATATATATATATATATATATTCCTGGCTTACCTCATGTCGGCATATTTTTTGACCGCGTATATATATATAGCACACACACCACAAACGTAGTGGGTTTTTTGAAGGTACTAAACCACACAATTGTAAGATTCAATATTTTATTATTTTTACAAAATGTAAAAGGCATTAAAGATTGCAGAAACAACTGCATCGGAAAATACATGATTCACAGGGGGTGATTTACTAACCTAAACACATGCACGCACCAGGTGCGTGTGATTTTCACACAGCAAAACGTATTTATCAACCAAAAAGTCTCTAAAAGCATATTTCCACTAATGCCATATATGGAAAAAGCATGCACATGATGCATATATAATGCTGCTTCACAGTTTAGACAAAAATGGTTAGCTCATGCATTTACATTCCTGCATTCATCAACGCAAGCAACACAACATAGAGCTAATTTACACAACATCACCTTGCAAATTCATGCAGGGCTTTGCACAACACACCTGCTGGGTGTGTGCACACTACAAAGGTGTTTAGATTCCACCCATAGATCATGCTGGGAGGGAACACACTACAGAGGTGTATACATGTTCGTGGTGTGTTTATAAGGTTAGTAAATCAACCCCACAGTGTTTGTTTTGATGGCATAATAAGTAAACTCCCAGGTCTCCCCCATGAATTCAGGAGAAAGCTTGCTATATCACAGATTATGGGGTCTATTCACAAAAGGGTGAAGAGTTTGAAGAAGGCAGGAGAAGGGAACAATCTAGGACAACATAGCTGAACTGGAAAGTGATCTGAATTGGAGAATTTTTCCAAATCGGCTATTTTGGCCTACATTGTTCACTTCTCCTGCCTTCTCCAAGCTCTTCACCCTTTTGTGAATAGACCTGTAAGTGAATTGTCATGAACAACATTAACACTTAAAGATTATGGTTCCTCCAATGGAGGTGACCCAGATCTTTGATGCATTTAGCTATATGCTTTTTCAAAAAGGGAAGGAGGTACTCTGATTTTTAGCATAAACCAGAAGAGCCATACGTTTGGACAACACCAGACACACGCACCATCACCGCAGTTTAAAAGGGACAGATGGAGGGTACAACGGCCCCAACCAACAAAAGATTGGACAAAAGCCTGAAAGGTATTGTTATGGGGAATAGCGCAGGGTCAGATTTAAACTGACTAGAGAAACTGGCCCTCCAAACTGGATTTGTATCCACAATCAAACTTCATAACTCTTGTGGTGATGTTCTAAAGGTGGTGATGCTACTGCAAGGAGCTTTTGTCCAATCTTTTAACATATTCATTTTGTCCAATCTTTTGTTGATTGGGGCAGTTGTACCTTCCAATTGTCCCCTTTGTGCTGCGATGATGGTGCGTGTGTCCGGTGTTGTCCAAATATATGGCTCTTCTGCTTTATGCGTCTAAAAATCAGAGTACCTCCTTCTCTTCTTGAAAAAGCATATAGTGAAACGTGTCAAAGATCTGGGTCACCCAGATTGGAGGAATCATAATCTTTAAGTATTAATGTTGATTACGACAATCCACTTAATCTGTCATATATCAAGCTTTTCTCCTGAAGTCATGGGGGAGACCTTAGAGGTTACTTATTATGCCATAAAAACTAACACTGTGAATCATGTATTTTCCGATGCAGATGTTTCTGCAATCTTTTAATGCCTTTGAAATTTAGTAAAAATTATAAAATATAGAATTTTACAATTGTGTGGTTTAGTACCTTCAAAAAAATCCACTACCTTTTTGGTGTGTGTGTGATATATGTGTAATACATATGGCTGGAGTTCAGCTTTAAGTTTCATGGCTGTAAAACCAGGAAAAATGTGTTGCATGATAGCATTTATACCCAATCAGAAAACTTGAGCTAAAGAAGAAGCTTACCACATATAACTCTGCTGACTTGGATTCTCTTCTCCATACCAAACAGGTATCATTAAATATTGTCAAATTGTGAATAGGGCCTCCTAAAAAAACCATATACTGATAGAATTATCTAAATATGTGAAACTTGCATATTAAAGAAAAGGTGCCTATTTATACATTCAAATAAAGCAGTAATACAATATATGGTGGAGGATGATGTATCCATTCCAAAAAATTAAAACAAAAATAATTCACAATAATCTATAGATTGTGGTTTGGGTAATGCCTTTTTGATCCCTCCCTTTCTTTCCATATTTTAGGTGTTCAGCCATAGGTATGTACAAGCAGTGCTGAAGAGTTTCCTGGTCAAACTAACTATACATAACATGCTACTATGAACAATGTTTGATGCTAATGAATATGTTTGAAAAATGGTAACCTCAACTATCCAGTCACATATTTCTGCTAACTCTTTTTAAGTTATCTCTTAAAACAGATAAAAATTGTTTTCCTGAAAAAGCATTGTGATACTTTCCAAACAACTCTATTTTTCTGTCACCGTTACAACTTCATGTCAAATACAAAGTTACAAACTATTACTAAGCATATGTACTTGTTTTTTTAAAGACACAACTTACATGGAAGCAAAACAATAGGTTGAATAACCTTACACATGATATCCACTTTTTTCTTGTACAACAATTTTTTCTTTTTAACATAAAAAGCCTACTACTTCAAAACTTACCGGCTAGGTTGGAGTGGGCTTCGCTGATATTTGTGGGCAACATCGTTTCCATGGGTAAATCAAAGCATACTATAGTCACATTTTGGTCTGTATTAATGTTAAACAACATATCCTGAAGCAATTCCTTTGGAGACCATCTTCCTCCTTTAACATACAACTATCAGCACAAAAATGACATATGGACATTTAGCCAAATTTTAACTAAAACGCTTTTTTAACTAAGCAGAATTCTTATTGTTATTACTGGAACAAAAATCTGCAGGTGAGGCTTAACAGGAGCAAAGGGAAAGCAGCCAAGTATTGCCCGATTGTTAGAATTATGTATCAAGTAGGACACTTTAGTAAACTCAAAGTATAATTGATATATATGGGGGAAACCTCAACTTTGTATTTCTCCTATTTCTTTAAATAAAGTCCTCCCATCATAGAGAGCTGCCTAGTATGGGTTTTAACTTTTGGTTTATGAATTCCTTAGATACAGAAAGCACTGTTCTGCTCTTCTACTTTCATACATGACTTCCTTGGCCTAGCGGAATCTGGGCCTATAAATGTAAAGTAAAATAAACAGAACACGTGTTCATATGAAACACTGAATCGTGTGCAGGAACATTTTAAAAAGTAGTAACTGCTCATGACAGGGTACAGTGAACACATCATCACTAAAATGTCACCTCTTTTTCTTACACAGGGCCCCTTGTGTGTATTCTTTCATGTTTGAGAATAAGGGTGGGAGTTATCTTTCTGCTCCTGCACAATCCAATAGCTGGCAGAATCCACCACAATACTCACCTGACAGAATCACATGAACGAGATAATGGAACATGAGCATGTCTAACTGCCTCAGAAGCCTGTTAAATAGCTGAAATGGCATAATAATTCACAAACAGCACTTATTTTTTCTTTATTCTTTAGTCATTGAAAAACAATAGGAATAGATTTAAACAAAAATGGCCACTTTAGCAAAGCCTAGACATTTGTCTGAAATGCCCAATTACATTTTCACATTCTGTGCAGCTATGTGAACCATTAAAAAGACCTCCTGAACCAAGCAAATAATGACATCAATCAAGAAAGAGATAAGTGGTACTTAAAAACAGACAGAAATTATTTGCAAACATTTTGACTTTCTCTACCTAACTCCTAGCTGAACCCTGAGCTATTTTTTGTTAAAAACACAAAATACTTCAAAGGTACACATCATTCTAAATTAAAGGTTAAAATAAATATATTCGCTGCCTATCTGATATACTAATTGATTTACTTTATTATTTTAGGAGATACTGACCATCAAAAATGATGCAGTTCCGACTTCACTTGCATGCTTGTGATTTGTCAGTGTCTTTTTAGGCCAGAGACAGCCAGGCAACTAGCATTTTCAGAAAAGGGCTGGCGGTATTATCTCAGTACTGGCTTCCTTTAAGCCTTGAAATTCATAAGGGAAATGCTTTTGCTTTTCATGCAGGCATAGGCGTTCAGCACCAGAATTAATTATACTGTATGGATTTCACCACTTTCACCAAAAGGGAGTATACTAACATCCCTACAATATACATAACTGAACGGTTTTAAAACCGTTAAAAAAGGTCAGCAGTGCCGTCCGTCCGTTTTTTTACTACGGACGGACGGCAAGAGGTTAATTGAGATTCGTTTGAAATTTCTATACACATATAGAACCTCCCTGTCTGCCCATCATATATGCAATACATGTAATTTATCACCATCAAAGATATCAAAGATATCTAAGCACAAATTGATGATGGGGAGACAATGACTTCTCAACGTGTTTCATGAACCAAGCATCCACTACCACAAGATGATATAAGTGGTAGGTTTTAAAATAAATACTCATCTGAAGTGACCCTAAATTTAGGAGTTAAATCTCAAAAATGCATTCAAGTACCTTAGCTTTTAACAAAAATGTATCTTATTTGTGTATCATTCAGCTGTAGATCTTCAAATCATCTAAATTTGTGCTGACATTGTCCTTCCTTCTGGAGGGGAGCTACTTTTGTTCCCCATGGTCCCTGTGTGTGTTTGTAAGGTAAAGCATTTCCCGGATCCCTTCCAAAACCAAAGAACAATCCAGCTTGTAGGTCAGTCCTAGCTGAATACAGTTGACCAAATCTATCTTGCAGGACAAATCAAGTAGCCATACCAGCTAAGATCTTCTATTAAAGGATAATTAAAGTCTTGTATGTTTTTGCATATATCTACTGCTAACTAGCAGTAGATATATGTAAAACATTTTTAAAAAAGTTTAAAAAGGGTTAAACCTTACCTGTGTCTCCGCCGCGCTCTCCCGTCCGAAGATCTGAAGATTCGCAGGCGGGCGCATGCGCTGCACAGATCTTCGGCCGGGAGACAAGGAGAGACACAAGGTAAGTTAATGCAGCAGCGTGCAGGAAGTGCCAGGAAGAAAGAGGAGTCAGCGCTGGATCAGAGACCGGCACCAGCGCTGGAAGAACTCCTGAAAACTACTGGAAAGAAGATGATCGGATCAAGAGGCATCGCTTAAGGTAAGTACTTACACTAGCATGGGGGGGGGGGGGGTTTTTTGCCTTTAATGTGACTTTAAATCAATGCAAGTTTCTACCTTTATACTGTCATATTGGGGGCACGCCAACATCCTTGTGACAATAATAAACCTTAGTAAAAAGTGTACAAAAATGTATTCAAAATGAAATTCATTTTTAAAAAAATTAGAAATTAATACAATAAAAAATGTAAAACACACACCATGCACATACATAGTCACATACATATAAATACACACAGTTAGGAAGCATGGACATACTTAACCATCTATTACACACACATATTAGGTATCCCCACAGATGCTAGCAATAGAACAATTTTAATGCCACCATTTTGCTTTGGATCTATGCTGATGAGCTGGATAGGATTTTCATTTGTCACCTACACTGTTTTTGATTTTGGGTATTGCAGTTTGCCAATGTTTCATATGTGTAAGCATATTTGGTGGCTAGATTAATTTAGTACTGATTTATTAAAGACAGTCTTGTCTTTTATACTTAGTGGTAAATTTGGCAATGATATTGGGGTCTATTCACAAAGCTGCCGATGGATCTAGCCGTAGCTTCGGCTGATCCTTCGGCTAGCTTTGGTCCCAGGACCCCTTCGGTTCAGTAGAACTGAAGGGCTGCTGTGGGGCTATTCCCTAAGGCCCGGACAGCTCCCGAAGTTGGCCGAGCGGCTCAGTCGAGCAGAAGGCATATGGCTCGGCTCGACTGAGCCACGCTGAAAGCAGAAGCTGGCTGAATGGCCGGCCATTGGCCGGCCGACAGCCTGCTTATGACAGCTGGGCAGAGCCAGTCATCATCTCACGGCTGGCTCCGGCCACTTGCAGAGAGATCAGCGTCCCTGGTTACCAGCTAAACAGGGACGCTGTCATTACACACTGAGAGCGGCCTCTCCATGTTCTCAGTGTGTAATAACAGATGACATTTCTGGTTACCTGGTAACCAGGAACGCATCTGTCATTCCTCCCCGGGACGCTCTGGGAGTCATAGGCTCCCTGCCGCCCAGGAGAGAAACACTTTATCACAGAAAGGTTCACTCTGCTCGATCGAACAGAGTAAACCTTTCCCTGCTTGGCTGCCGTCAGAAGAAAAAAAAATCCCCATAGGAAAGCATAGCTAGATTCCTATTAGCTATTTCAATTTGCAATAGCGAATAGAAAACTAGCTATTGCACCCGCCCACTGCTGCTGTCAATCAGCAGAGGGGGACCTGCAGTTCTCCATCAGGTCTCCGTCTGCTGATTGACAGCAACAGAGGGCGGGTGCAATAGCTAGTTTGCTATTGGCTATTGCAAAAATCTTTCCTATGGGGATTTCTTTTAATTATTTTTTGATGGCAGCAGAACCGCCCGGCCAATAGAAAACAGTTGGGCGGAGCTAGCTGTCACTGCTAGCTCCGCATAATCGTTTTCTATTTCGTTTCTGTACAGCGTTCGGCTCACTTTGCTTGGGGTCGGTGAGTCACTCGGCTGCCTACGGCAGCTTAGTGAATAGACCCCATTGTGTTTTGTGCAAAACAAAAGTTGGTGTTTTTACTGAAAATATAGATTTTATATACAGTAGCCCAAATATTGTGCAATATACAGTTCTAGGACTACCATCTTTTTCTACAGGTCATCTGTTTCAGAAAATATATCTTTTTGGGGATCATTAGTTAAATTTGCAAACCTATAATATTATTTTTCTCACATTATTAGAATGAGTGTAGGGTACACATATGGAAATTGGGTTGAGGGGGAACAAAGCTTCTAACCTGCTTTGGACTTTAGTATCAATCCAGCTTTGGTTCCCTAAATAGCAATAGCATTTCACATTTCAATTATATGAATTAAAACTTACTTTGTATATTTCTTGTAAATCATCTAAACATCTATTCCACTGCAGGCATGTTTTATTAAAGGTTTGCTGATTGATGGAGTTTTCACTTTCTACAGTAACAAAACAAAAAAAAGTTGATAATTACAATATAGGTTTTAGGGTAATATCTATTTCCTTAGTCTGTGCTTCTTTGAATGCTTAATAGTAAAAGTATCTTAAAAAGAAATGTTTCCAGAATTACCAAGAAATACACAATAATTTTAGGAATTGAGTAGATCAACAAAATAAGCAAGGCTTCAGAGATCAGCTCGAGTTCCATCTGAATTATTTCACAGGTGGCTCTGACCTGCACTTGACCTTCATCTAACCTGTATCATGCTGCTTTAGGCTGCTTTGGCAGAGAAAAGTAGTTTTGACATGAACAGTAAGGAACTCAGAATGATCTCAGAAACATCTCAGACTTATCTCAAAAATTCATGCTAAATACACATGAATCTTAAATTATATACTCAAGTATACTCAAGCCCTAAATCCTTCCCCAATAAAATGGCCAGCAATTCAAAGCCAACTGACTTAACATCCTTCCCGTTTAAAAGGCTACAGCACCTAGGGGCAAATACAGTATGTATGCTGCCATTGCTGACCTCTCCACAGAGACCTGACATAGGTTTTAAACTTTCTTTACCGTAACAAAAACAACAGAGAAGCTCTGGCTAGAGTTCAATTTTTCAAATACAAGAACTGTCATTTGGTCCCTTTGTGGCTGGACGTACAGTGTACGTCTCCCGTCACGAAGGGGTTAACACAGTAATAATTGCATTAAAAAGAGTTTATTTTAATATGTGCATGTACTCCCTTTTTACATTTAGAATTAAATGTAGACATTTAGAATTATAACATTGAAATGTATTTTGTCATTTTCCTCTTAACCTGTGTTTACCAAGTCTTATAAACCGTTCTGGTAACTGCTGAGACAGAAGAGAAGGAAAGAGACACGTTCACTTTAAAGGGTCAGTCAACGCAAAAGTGGGTTCTGGTGGGCTAAATCAGCCCCTGCTGTCTTATATGCCATGGATACCCCAACTGTGAGATCTCCCTGCCCAATTCTGTTCTTGTAATACACTGTACTTGTCCATCTGGGAGTTTTAGGTCTTCCCAGTTCACCCTTGAGAGTTACAGCCACTCCTGTTGCACTGTTCATAATATAAAATGCATAAAAATATAACAGGTAGAGTGGGAGACCCTGATAATGTCCACGGGATGTGTGCAGACCTCACATGAGTACAATCCCAGAGATATAAGAAACATGTGGTTTAAGTCTCCAGTATGCACCAAAATCTGACATTTCAGTTTTAACTTGACTGAAACTTACAGGTTTATACACAAAAGGGTGAAATGTTTGGAGAAGGCAGGAGAAGTGACCAATCTAGGACAACATAGCTGATATGGAAAGTGAGCTGAATTGGAGAATTTTTCCAAATCAGCTATTTTGTCCTAGATTGTTCACTTCTCCTTCCTTCTCCAAACTCTTCACCGTTTTGTGAATAACCCTGTTAGTGATTGGGCATCAGCAAACACATTGGCCTACTTGTTTGTGCATAATCTCATCCTTGTATACTTTATACACACACACAGCAGGAATTATTTAAATTGCCTAATCAACCTTAATGTTGATCAAATGTTTTAAGTACAATATGCACACATTATATACTGAAAATGAGCCTGTATCCTCCACTCCGTGGGGGGGGCGCATACCTCTACGCAGGGGACGGAGTGTCTGGGAGGGGAGGGGGGGGGACATTGAGGTGGGGCAGCGTACGTCATTTGTTCGCAGGTGTTGTGGCCGGGGGTTTCATTTCTCAGTGGCGGAACTGCGTGCTGGGTTCCCATAGTCGATACCTGAGGGTGTCATTGCATGTGTTGCAGGCAGGAGGCATTCGTCCGGCTACCGGCGGTCATCCCGGACGGCAGCTGATTACAGGTACGGGGGTTGATTTTTGGGTAGTCCTCCGTCTCTTCGGGCATGGACGATTCCGAAATTGGTTTTGGAGCTGCAGAAGAGGGGCGTTCCTTTCTCGGCCACGGCCAGGAAGGCGGAACTGTTCAAACTGTTGTTCCCCCCGGCTACCGCTAGCATCTGTTCCGAGCGCATGTCGGATAGGACGCTGGCGACTTCTTTGACGCAGCTTCACGCAGCGCTGAACGGGATCAGCACCTCGTTGCACAAGTTGCAGCAGAGGACGGGAAATCTGGAGAAGCTGGTCACCCCGGTTCCAGCTGCAACGCAGGTCCCTGCGGGCACGGACGCGGTCATTCCTAGCACATCCGGCACACGGGGTGACGTGCACGCAGGTACGATGGTTTATCCCCCTAATATTACGCCGGCGCACTTTGTGCCGGCTAACCTTAAAAAATACATTCTTGAGGGCAAGGATGTGAACCTTGCGTCGCTGCTCGTAGCCACGCACGACGTCACGGATAACAAGTCCTTCGCTTGCGGGGATGTTTCTGTCATACTGAAGGCCAGGGATCCTCGGTTAAACCGCAAGCTGTCTGTGGCCGAGTTTGTTTTGGCCTTCGGTATGTACAGGGATGTGGTGTGCTCTGCGAGCCCTGCTCGTAGAGAGGAGTTGGACATGTATTTGCACTTGGTGGTGGATCTGGGGCACAGGTACGGGGGTTTTGCCTTCTACGATTACCACAGGGCTTTTTCGGCGAAGGCCGCCGCTGGCCTGGCGCAGTTCCAGTTCGTGTCCAACTGGGGTAGGATAGACACCGAGCTCTTTTGTAGGCACTTCGCGGGGCTCAAGGCGCAGGTATGCACGATCTGTCAGTCATCCGCGCACACGGCTAGCTGGTGCCCCACCCCGGCGTTGGCCGACACGACCGCGGTTCTTAGACCGTCTGGGTTGTTACCTAACCCGCCCGGCGGCACCTCCGCGCAGTACGACAAGCTGGGTCGGCCGATCCAGTGTCTGGGGAAAGCCCAGATTTGCAACAATTTTAATTACAAGTCCTGTAATTATCCGCAGTGTCGACTGTTGCACATTTGTTCGGGCTGCTTTAGGGCGCATCCCAAGGTCAATTGCACGGTACGCAGCGTGCAGCCTTCGTGACTAAGCAGGGTGAATGTGGTGGCCCTGGTGGAGTATTTAAGGGCCTATCCTAACCCCACGTTGACGGAGTTCCTGATTGACGGGTTCACTTCGGGGTTCCACACGGGGCTGATCACGCTCCCGCAAACGTCGCACGAGTGTCCCAATTTGATGTCTGCTGCCGCGGGCCCGGGTAGGGTGGATTCTTTATTGGGCGACGAGCTGGAGAAGGGTTTTGTCATCGGCCGTTCTCCGAATCCCCGTTTACTTCGTGGAGGGTCAGCCCCATTGGGCTGGTTTGTGGCAAGTTCTCCAATAAATATTGTTTGATTTATGACTTGTCAGCTCCGCATTCTTTGCATATTCCGAGTTTGAATTCGTTGATTCCATCGGAGGAATTTTCCCTCAAATATTCCTCGGTTGATCAGGCGATACAGTACATCATCCTGGCAGGTAAGGGAGCTTGGTTATCCAAAGCGGACATCTCGGATGCGTTTAAACTCCTGCCTATCAAACAGTCGTTATGGCAATGGCACGGGATTAAATGGAGGGATCGATATTATTTTGCTGTCAAGCTGACCTTCGGGTCAAAGAGTAGCCCGTGGTTGTTTGACACGTTTGCACAAGCCCTCCACTGGATTTTGGAACATCAGGTAGGTTGTCAAAGGGTTTTGCACTATCTGGATGACTTTCTGCTGATACAATCTCTGGACAGGGTGCCTTGTGACCTCGGCAGCTTGTTGGGTATGTTCGGGGTGTCCACCCGGTCAAAGCTATCCTTAAAGGGTTACAGAAAGCTGGGAGGCAGGCGACTCTCACCCGCTTGCCCATAGCCGGTCACCTGTTCCGGGCAATGTCGGGCATGTTAGATAACTCACCTTTTGGAATTCTGCAGAGCCTAGTTTTAAAATCTGCAATTTATCTAGCTTTTTACGGGTTTCTGCGACCGGGAGAATTCACTTGCTCCTGCGCCAGTGCCGCAGGGATCTGCAAAGAGCAGTTGGTCAGGTTCCCGGTTCATTTCGTGTTGTCGCTGGCGAGGAGCAAAAAGAATCAGGTAGGTGCACCTACCGAGATAAAGTTGTTCCCTTCCGACAATCTTTGGTGCCCTGTGAAGGTGTTGGACAGTCTCATGTCCAGTTTAGCCCAGAAGAAGGCGGGCAGTCCTTTGTTGCCTTTTCCCAGTACTCCGCTGTCCGCAAGTCAGTTCACTGTTCACGTCAAGTTGCTACTTAGCCAGGTAGGGGTCAATCCCAAGCGGTACTCCGGTCATTCCTTCCGCATAGGGGCAGCGTCAGCTGCGTCGCGTCAGGGAGTCCCCGCTCACATAATCAAGCATTTAGGACGTTGGAACTCGTCGTGCTCGTCGTACATACCAGACCCACAGGCAGAGTTGGCAGACGCTTTTACCAAGTTGGCAGCATAATGTAGTTAGGGGGTAATATTCTTACTAGAGTTGGTTTTGCCCCCTTATTGGCATTACTGTCCGCCCGGACCATGGCACACTTCAGGTCCTACCAGCTGTGGTCATATATGTCAAGTAAAGTGGACTCCTTACACAAGTTGGAAGGCTAACAGGTTAGCCTGAATTTGTGGGAGGAGTCTGCGCCTCCTTACCCCACTTAAGCAGCGCCGATCCGTCTGCTGGGGACGGGAGGTTTTCCGAGCAACCCCCCACCCATCCCTTGGGTTCTTCAGTCAGGAGTTCACCTCATTTCACTCTTCACACTATCTGAGTATGCCCCCTTATTGGCATTACTGTCCGCCCGGACCATGGCACACTTCAGGTCCTACCAGCTGTGGTCATATATGTCAAGTAAAGTGGACTCCTTACACAAATATATATATTAGTTCTACACTCACCATGGCTTGTCATGTTTAGAATAACATATGCAGACAGGTCTGTAGATGACTCAGTAATGTTGATTGAGTACTCTGCTCCAGGAGGCAACTCTAAACAAAGAACTGGGGTAGACTCTTCTGTACTGAAATTAAACATTATGTTTTGGAGTAATTCTTGTGGATACCAGGATTTACCTTGGATGAACACCTGGGGAAGGTGAATACACATAGACAGTTAATAATACATTTAAATAATAATATACATAGGTCAATTTAAAAGCTAATGTCATATCCCTTTAAATGATTTAAATATGTCGCAAGGGGATTACTACAACCAACATACAAAAGTAATAAATATACAGGAATATTATATCAGCCCACCTCCCTTTTTCATCACCTCTGTGATTCTCTTTATGCTAATGTCTTCACTACTGACTGTGTTTTATTGCATGCTTGCAGGGATGAGGCTTTGTTACTCTGGGTGAGGCTGCTTTCTAAGGAAAATAAACTGTAATAATTTAGCTGATTTAACTTGAAAGTTCAACTGGGCTTTAATTTAATTTTTACTTCATTCCTATATTTGTTGTCTTCTATGTATCAAGCTTGTGGTTGTGAATATCCTACAGTGGTTATTTGTTTATATAGTATACTTCTCTGTACGAACCTACAGTAGTCAAATGTTTGTTATGATATATCCCAAAGTTAGTATAAAGTTTATCCAAAATTGCACATTTTATGGCACTAGCTGCAAGTTTTTGAGTCAGTTACTCCAAAACCTCCTTTTCCCCCAACACTGACATACAGACTTATTAACTGCAAGCAGGTCAAGCATTTCAGTTACACACCCCACACTATTTTAAGGTCACTCAGTTCCCAACATGTTTTAGTAAGATAAGAGTCATTAGTGTATCGTGTATAATTAAAAACAATATTTGTTTTAAGTTTCCACACTTGCACAAGAATGAAACTGCTTATATAATTAAACATTAGGCGGGGTATAAAATGAGATTGGATCCTAAAGTGACTGTATGTGGGGTCTCTCATTTCTGGTCAATAGGCCACTGTCATTATCATTTTATTGTTCGTGTCTTGCTTTTTATTTTTTGATAATTGTTGCACTGCCTGTGCCACTGCATTGAGCATGTCTTTGCCTGATTGATAGTGTCGCCATACTAACCAACAACATACACTTGCGTTAAATATTCTATTATGATTATAGCTTTACCTCAAGATTTGCATGATAAAACCTACTGTGTACATCTGCTTTACAATAATTGCGCTGTGGGGTTGTGCCAGGGTTCATCTGCAATAAAGCTGTTGGCCCATTAATGACAAGTGTCCTTTGAGTTAAAAACTATCAATCAAGGGTTAAATTCTTCTACAAAGCCACCACCACTGGTATTTTGCTGCATTATGCCCCAGCCTGTGACCTTTTCACAAATCTGCCCCTGCAGATTAGCATGTACAGTACATGCAGGTATTATTGGAAGTACCCAATTTTGGTTAAACCTTGGGAAAAATTAAAAAGATTTCACAATGAATGTATCTAGTTTTACATACCTCCCAACCTTTTCAGATGAGAAAGAGAGACACCTTCCAGCACAATGAGGGGAATTTATCAAAACTGAAGCAGACAGAATCTGGAGCAGTTGCCCATGGCAACCAATAATCTTCTCTCTTCAGTTTGTTCAGTTAAACTTTGAAAATTAAAGATAGAAGCTGATTGGTTGCCCTGGACAACTGCTTCATGTTCTGTCTGCTCCAGTTTTGATTAATTTCCCGCAATGTATTCAGGCAATGAACACCCCCTTCCATGCCCCCCCCCCAGTTATGCCAATCAGCTGCTGTCACCGTTTGAGTATTTTGAGAGCAGCGAGTGTGGAAATACAAAGTGGGAGATTCATCCATCCATGCATTTTAGCGTTGATGGAGAGGAATCTGTTATATCTTTTTCATTCAGCCCACAGGCTATAACAGTGTATGGCGGAAGAGGGACATAGGGATTTGGTTTTAAATGAGAGACAGTCCCTCCAAATGAGGTATGATTTTAAAGCAAACCTGTAAGTACATTTCATTAACATTTGTGCCTTCAGCCTTACCAGACAAAAAGCGAGTAAGAGTACCAATACCTTTCCTCAAGTACTTGCCGGTACTAAATACCAAGACCTTTTTTTATTGTCCAGTGAAACAATACAGACTAATGATTTTAGGACAGTGGTGAAGTGCCAGGGTCCGGTCCCAGCTGCAGACGCTGCACCCCTGGTAGTTCTGCCACTGACTCCAAGCTGTAGCGGGACTACAAATCTAAGCAATACATTATTCAACAATGCAGAATACCACCAGCTATATATGACTACAATTCCAAGCGATACATTATACAGCAATGCAGAATACCTTCAGCTTTAGAGGAATACAAATCCAAGCAATACATTATACAGTAATGCAGGAGAATACCATCAGCTATAGATGACTACAAATCCCAGGGATACCTTATACAGCAAAGCCGAATGGCAACGGGCTATAGAGGACTACAAATCCCAGCAATGCATTATACATAAATGCAGAATAATATAAAGCTACATACTCTGTGCTGCTCTGGGGTTCTGGCCTTATGTCTCCAGCGGAGGATCTCAGATGGCTGTGTTGGATCTCAAGAGGCTGTGCGGCATCTCAGATGGGCAGTGCGGGGTCTCAGTGGGCTGTGCCTGGTCTCAGGAGGCTATGTGGGGTCTCTGGTGGTTGTGAAGGGTCTCAGGGGGCTGTGCAGGGTCTCACAGGGCTGTGCGGGATCTCAGGAGGCTGTGTGGACTCTTAGGTGGGCTGCGCAGGTTCTATGGTGGGTTCTATATATGTGCCCATACATATCTGTTTATACTGTGTATATACACACATAACTTCTAGTCTACTTACTTTGTACACTTCCACTGAATGTGTGGTGAAAGAGCTTCCTGTCCACGTCAAGCAGGAATCATTGAACAATATAATGTTACCAAATACTTGTTTCCCTGGAAAACAGACACAGCCATGTTACTTGTCATACCTTATACAGTGATACCTTGGTTTACGAGCATAATTCGTTCCGGAAGCATGCTTTTAATCCAAAGCACTTGTATATCAAAGCAAATTTCCCCATAGGAAATAATGGAAATTCAGATGATTCGTTCCACAACCCAAAAATATTCATATAAAAATGATTATAATACTGTACTGTAATATAATACTGTACAAAATATAAAGAAAAATAAACCAATTACTGGTACCTTCGTGGCCGGTGTGAGGGGGACAAGAGAGGAGGATTATTGTGTAGGACAACTTTCACTATCACTAACGAAATCACCGCTATTAATCGGCTCAATGGAATCTTTTTCATTTCGTGAAACCTTAACAAGGAATCTATCCAATGTGACATTGCATTGTCCTTAAACAGACTCATTGGTCGCACTGCTACAGCCTTTTTCGTTATTGCTTTTCTACAAAATGTTGCTCTTACTGCAAGACATTTGCTTGTATATCAAGGCAACATTTTTCAGAAATGTTTGCTTGTCTTGCAAAACACTCTCAAACCAAGTTACTTGTAAACCAAGGTATTACTGTATTATTCTACTACTATGAGCAAGGCGGAACAGCTTTAACTGGTATTGGCAGCAGTAAACCATGCACAAGAGAGGGGCAACCAGAAAACAGTCCAACCAGATTAGTCCAAAACTTTTATTCAGCAAAGCGACAAACAAACAAACCCAATTTCTATGCAGGAGTGTTTTGTACAGCAAGTCCATAGCATAAAAAAATGTCTGCTCATAAGAGCCACAAACTAAACTCAGGTAAGTTCCAGACTAACAGGGTTTTACCCCCAGAGAGAGTCCTGAGCTCAGTCAGCTCACATATATAATGGCTATAGATATATAAAGGCCAGTGGAAAGCTGAGACTAATAATGAGGCCTAGTTAACAGGAAAGATATGGGCCTAGACATAAAACTTTATCCCACCCAAATCTCTACAAAGCCCATGCAAATGCAGAACCCATACCAGAACTTATCAATATTCTGGGAAAACAAAAATTCTGTTTTCTGCACATTAGTAACAGACCCTGGAGCCAGTAGCGTCACAAGGGTCACAACCATCTCGACAGTAATGCATATCCCCCCACATTAACAAAGAACACCAATAGCAAGATGGCTTATCTTATAGTGCTTAGTTCCTACCAACACCACTGGCCAGTGGGAGAATAGATGTAAAGGCTGTTGGTGATGGGGCCCATTCACTCTCCTTGGAGTGCTCACTCTCAAAATAAGAGTATTTGTATTCCATAGAGAAACACTCCTATAGTGTCCTGGGCACATTATTTTGGCAGCAGCAAATTTCAGCATTAGTAAGTCAACTTAGAACAAGTACAGGTGCCCAAAAGGCCTCTCACCACTGATGATGCATAGACATCCTTCCCAGAGGCCAGGCAAGAGGTCACACCACATTCTGGTGCTCCCCCACTCAAACCCTGTATCTTCTACCCATACAGTCCTATTTCTCTATTTGCTGCTGTCTGGAAAGACAGGTAAGCAAGGTAAGCCACAGACCTCATATTTCTACTCTCTGGTGGCTACTTCCCGGCCCATACAGTTTAGTCCATTACAGTCAACCCTGCAGCCTGCTCTTCTCATGGCTCTCTCCGAGTCCCATGCAGCACAGCTGCATTGTCCCCCTTCTTCCTGTTTTGCCTCTCAGCAAAGCCATAGTCTAAAAGCTCTCTCCACTGTACTCCACAGCCACTCTCCCTGCTGCACAGTCCATCTCCCTCAGGCTTCCCCGCAACTCTCTCCTCATCCTGGGCTTCTCATCCAGTTGACAGTACCAGTCTCACATCCCCTCTTCCTCTCTAGCATTGGGCTAGCTAACTACTCATGGTTTTGGTGGCAGCCAGTAAAAATCCTCCCCTACTCTGCCTGCTGCAGTGTCATATCGTGGGATGAGCGCCTTGCGTGGTAATACACCATAGATGCATAGTTGTGTCGCAGTGCTACCTGCACTGCAGCACAACCCAGTGCACCACAACACACTACATTTTCTTGAGTTGAGGTGTATTGTAGCCCATTCATTTTAGATTGCCCAAAACAATGTGTCTCAACACATGAAAATGCATGTCCAGCGAAGTGCAGTACAGAAGGATGGGACCTTGAACTACTCTTTTTCTAAGGAGTAATTTTTTTTATTTATGTGCACCTGGAAAATCTAATATTTCTGCTACCCTTAGACAACCCATACAAAAGAAGCTGTTATTGCCAGACAGAAGGTAGGGCAAACACCTGTGAATTAACTTTAACATACAGAATAAAGAAACGTTTAAAAACTTAACACACTTGTGCTTAATTCAGCTTAGTGATTAGATTATGAAATTGTTTTTGTTTAAATTGTTTATTATGAAAATAAACAAGTAACGTATTGTGTTTAAAATACTGCACATACTACTTTATTGAACTGGCACTAAAGTCTAGATCCGATTAACTGCTGCACCTTATTAAAAAATTAAGGGATATGCTGTAGGATAAGAAAATCACTGGGGATTCCAGCTTCCACTTTATTCTATCCTTTTGGGAACCAGAGTGAGATATAGGAAGCCGCTGAATGGCTCAAGTCACTGGTACACACCCAAACTCGAAATAAGGAGCTGGTCTTTAAAGTTTAATACTTAAAGATACTTAACTAGAAAATTAACTGTTACCTACTAGATGTTTGCATTGTTACAGTAAGCACCACTGTTGGAATTTCAGGAGAAAGAGCTATCATTGTGATGGTATAGTTAGTATCTGACAGTAGTTCCAAACACAAAACTGGATTTTCATCATCTGTAGTGTAGTTGAAGATCTTCTTATCCACAAATTCTTTGTCATGCAGCCTTACTCCAAATATGCTGAACTGTTTTAACAAAGAAGTAAAGCACGCATTAATGTTACTTAATCATTACCTTTCCTATAGATAAACATGTACTTCTGGATTACCTTATACAAGATCTCCCAGCCAAACAAATCAGTATTTTTTGTCCAATTCAGACATGTTTCATTAAAAATCTTCAGGTTTCCTATTAAGTTTTCTTTTGCTTAAAAAATAAAATAAAAAAGATGAAGGCGTTGTATAAGTGCATGCAATAGTAAGTTCAGATCAAGGCTTTACAAAGGATTATACAGTGTGCAAGGGGCAGGAGGTAGGGGGAATATTGGTCCTACATTTTTAAAGAAGTATTGCTATAAGTATAAAATGTTTGTTAAATCCTCCAAGGAGCCCAGTGCACATCACACTTGTCCCCATTTAAATCTATGTTTTACTGTTTAATATATGTTTTACTGTATTTAAAATCGTATTTCTATGTATAGATAGTAATATATATTAGGGAGAGCTGTATAGCACATTACATGTACACATGTAATTGCCCTTCAAACCGTCTTGTCTTGAATTGTTTTGTAACTACTGTCTCAAATAACTGATGAAAAATCCACAAGGCTCACAAACCAAAGACCATATGATCTAAACTGCCTTGAATTTAGGTCATTTAAAAAAGCTCAGTGATAGCAAACTTCTCTTTAGCAAGAGAAGCTTTCTTACACAATACTCCGATCAGCCATAACATTATGATCACCCACCTAATATTGAGTAGGTCCCCTTTTGCCACCAAAACAGCCCTGACAAATCGAGGCATGGACTCCACTAGACCTCTGAAGGTATGCTGTGGTATCTGGCACCAAGCCATCAGCAGCAGATCCTTTAAGTCCTGTAAGTTGCGAGGTGGGGCCTCCATGGATTAGACTTATTTTTTCATCACATCCCACAGATGCTCAATTGGATTGAGATCTTGAGAATTTGGAGGCCAAGTCAGCACCTTGAACTCCTGACTAGTGATGGGCCGAACACACCTGAGTTTGGTTCGAGTTCGAACTTTCGAACATGAAAAAAGTTCGAACTCGAACTTTGAACTCAATGCAAGTCTATGGGACCAGAAGTCTGAAAGTCAAATGTCCCCATTTTGAAGCCTTTTATGCAAGATATTGGCTATTAAAGGGTATAGGGAGTCGGATACTATCCTGGGGGACATGTATCAATGCAAAAAACACTTAATAATTACAGTTTTTAAAGGAGCAGTGATTTTAACATTGCCTAAAGTGTAACAATAAAAAATGAAAAATTCCTTTTAATAGTGTGTCTGGGGGGTCCCCTTAAACTGCCTGTAAAGTGACGCATCTGTACAATGTATAGAACCTGCTGCAGCAAAAATGGCATTTATAAAGAAAAAAAATGACATTTACAAAGAAAAAAAAAAAGCGTGCCGTTCCCCCTCCCAAACAATACCAGACCCTTTAGGTCTAGTAGGAAAGTTAGGAGGCACCCCATTTAAAAAAGAAAAAAAGCACAGGGTTCCACCCAAATGTCATACCAAACCCTTTAGGTCTGGTAGGAATTTTAGGAGGGACCCCAAGTTACAATTTAAAAAAACAAAAGTGTGTGGGGTTCCCCCTCAAAGTCATACCAGGCCATTAAGGTCTGGTAGGAATATTAAGGAGGAACCCCACCTCTAAAAATGGGGAAAAAAAGATGTAGGGTCCCCCCTAAAATTCCCAACTAAACCCTTGATATGAGCACAGGCCTGGCAGGGCAGGAAAGGGGGGGACGAACGAGCCTCCCCCCTTTCCTGCGATACCAGGCCACATGCCTCGGTACTGGAAGGGAGCATTTCCAGTGTCGACCCTAGAAAAGCACGTGCCGATGGTGACAAGGGCCTCTTCCCCACAAGCCCTGGGGCGTTGGTTGTGGGGATGCGGGCAGGGGGGCTTATTCACATGAGGTACCCCTTTAATAAAGTGGCACCCAGATGCGCCCCCCTCCCTTGTGAGTAAGGTGTACTTACCCATTCACTAAAGATTTTAATTAAATTTAAAAAGAAAAGAGGCCAGACTTTTAGGGAAAATCCTTTAATTGAAATAAAAAACGCAACAAAGGATTTTGACAATTCCTTTATTGAAAAAAAAAAGAAAAGGATCCACCGACGTAACCAGGGTCAATCACGACGTCCAGCATCATCCACGACGACAAAACCCACCGCCAACCGATCTGTCCACTCGCGACGAACTCCCACCGCAGAATGGCATTCTGACAGATGTCAGCAAAATATAAACAATTGGGCGGAGCTAGCTAGAAAACACAAACTAGCAATGTTTAAGTTGAACTCTTGGTCGACTCGAACATCGAGCCCAACACTACTCCTGATCACTGCAGACTGGGATTATCTCACAAGAGCTGCAGTTTTGGAGTTGCTCTTAACCATCATATTGTCTAGCCCTCACAATTTGGCCTTTGTCAAAGTCACTCAAATCCTTATGCTTTTTCTGCCTCTAACACATCAACTTCAGGGACAAAATGTTCCCCTGTGCCTTATATATCCCACCCACTTCCAGATGCCATTGTAACGAAATAATCAATGTTATTCACTTCACCTCTTAGTGGTCATTATGGTATGGCTGATCAGTGTATAATACTGTGATTTAGTAATATTGATATGGGCTTGATTGTCTGATGTTCAGTGTGAACTGCAATGATAGTTCTGCTTTAACAATCTTGACAAATAATATATATATATATTATGTAACCACCAAAATTACTCCAGTTTATACCCTGTGTCTGCCATGTGAGGAGACATAGTCACGTCAAGTCAGGGACAATTCCCGGGTACAGCCTCAAAAGCTAAGCTCTACTGTACTGTTTATAATTGAAAGAAAGCCAGGAGTCTTGAGGTTAGGCAACATATAAGAATACATCTGAATCCATAAAGCAGTTAGGTCAGAAAGATAGTGCAAAGCATGTGTACAGATATAAGGACGGGTTAATAACCACCCAACATACAAAAAATTGAGACAATTCTGGACAAAATACCTGTGCAAGTTAGATTCAGTACTTTCCAGGTAGAATTTATCAGGCACCGAGAGAAATTCCTTTCTCCGTTATCTCTGAATCCAGGTTTACATTTATAATATACATAGCTTCCCATGATGCTCTCATTATTCCACATCAATTCAGTATGTTCAATAGTTAAAGGAAATCCACAGTCAACCTCTCCAGTGGAAAAATGAAACATACAATTATTTTTCCTTAAAACTCAACTTCAGATAAAACTTTTATTTCTAATTTGGCTTCGAAAAAGTAAATACTTCTGTCAAATGTTTGTTGCCGCCTGAGAGTGTGTAACTGTTAATTTACCTCTCTTCCTGTCTCTCTGACAGCTTGTGACAGTAGGACAAGAAAGGAGGGGAGCAAACAGGAAGCAGGAAGCCAAGTACTGTAATAATACCTGGCAAAGGTTCTCATCCTTTCTCATTTTACTGAACAAAAGGTGTTCCGTTGCAGTCTGTGTTCCAGCTGCAGATGTTTTTCATCACTTTCTGTCTAGACAGGAAATGAGGGAAATTCTCCCCAATGGGCACATCATCCTCAATAAAAACCCTAAAGGGGACTTATGTATCCAACGTGCCTGGAGTTCCACTTTAGGCTACCAAACCTCAGTGAATGACTAGACTGTATAAGACAAGGTGTTACAGGCAAATGGTATTACCTAAAAAGTTCTGTATATAACTAAAAAGTACTAACAAACTACAAAATTGCTTCTATATTTTACTAGAGTGCTGAGAAATAAATGACTGAATACGTCAGCAGAAAGTTATTTGTTTTCTTCCATTAAAGTGTTGTTTAAATCCACTTGAATGTGTCTTTTATACACAGTATCAGGAGACAATTTACTTCCTCATTTTCTTCCAGCGATAGAACATGAACAGGGGCAGCTTGACCCTGAGATCTACTACCAACGCACCAGGGTTACAGCCACAGCAAGCATAAACAAGATGTATTAAAAGCCATGTATTACCTGTACAGAGGAAACGTGGGTTTTCCCATGATTCATTGAAAGTACATCTTGACACATGCCAAATGTCAGGATTATAAAAGCCTTTCAGGCACATATACCGTACTTCACTCCCAGGCTTTGTGGATCCATTCCACTCTCTTTCTGTGTTGGGCACTGATGGTGGCTGCCCACAGTTAATTTCTTAATGGAAAAAATAGCACAGTTATTATTATAAAACAATTGGAGAACATAGTAAAAACGATTTAGGGGTAGGTGGTGGTGGAAGAAGAAGAAGTGATATATAATTATATAAATATGTCGAAAATATCTCTTACAGAGTATTTCCACTTTTGCAGCAAAAGAGATGACACTTGCTTTCTATTTGTTACATGTTCTTATTGACATAGCATAACTTATAAAAACTTAGCAAATATTTAAACATTGCTGCTTTCCTTTATTAGATGATATTTCTACAAACTCTACGACTGGAAAATCCAGCTTAGGTCTCATTGTCACCCAGATTGGGATAACACCTACTTATATATGTTACATGTTCACAATCACATGGCATAACTTATAAAAAAAAATTAAATTGCTGATTACATTTTTAAGTGTTTTATACGTAATTAAAAATCCTACCTAGCTTCCCCCTATGTAATATTAATGAGGGGGCTGTGCAAAGTTATGTTTTACTCTAATTAACCCTGTCTATACTGTGTTGACAGATTTCATTATCAGTTGTAAACTGGATTTGAACACTGCCTCTCGAAAACAAGGAGTAAAAGATTTAGAAACATTGTATTTTAAAAAGAGAAATCTTTTAAAATGTCCCTCGGTTTGTCCCTCTACTTTCACATTCAAACTGCTCAGAGTAGCCTGCAATCTGTACAAAGGCCTTCACCAAAGAAACAGATAAAAGGTAAGAAATATGTTTTTACAAATATTTGTAGGTATACTGTGTGGATGGGCACATATATCAAATATATAGAGGTTTTCTCAAATTTGCTTGCAAAAGTTGAAATATTATTTAGAAAGTATTTTGCCTGCCGTATGAGTTGTAAAAGACACACAAGACATTCAATGGGAATAATGTGCATATCCCAGCAGGCTTTAGGGGCGGAGGAGATGTCATCCCTGCCTAGGTGAAAATAGAGGCAGCCAACAGGGTGGAATGCTACAAATAGGTAAACAATGGCAATAATTTGGCATTTTAGTTTGTGGGGGAAGCAGGGATTCCACCAAAGTATATTATTGGAGTGAAAGTCTGCTTTTGGACGTTAACTCCTTTCACCTTGCTCAGAAAATGGTCTCATTCCAGCCAGATATCTACTGGCCAACCAATCAAAGTTGAGAAGCCTGTTAAGATCACTGTGGTTCTTCACTGAGATAAACATATTTGCCTGCACTGCTCTCCTTCTCCCCCTCTCCTCTCCAATCACATAAGAAGACTCTATCACAGGACAAGCAGAGGAGCGAATAAAGCAAACTCCTCCTACCCACAACACCTTGCAAATCTTCCTGTCATGGCTGAATACCGGCCGGAATACTAACACAGTACCAGGAGACAATTTACTGCAATTTACCAGTAACTGTCCTTAACATCTACCTTCTATGTAAGTTACCTCACAATAATGAATAAAAAGATATATGACAGGACTTTTTTTTGCCTCTGAGCAGTGCTAATCTCCTACATCCTCTTGCAGACATTTCTTGTCTACATGTACTCACTCACACATACGCATCACTACTGGACCAGCTTGCTGATATTCACAACAGTGCACAATGCTGGCAAAGTGTGTGACCGTCAGCCTCTTATACAGTAGTCTCCCCTATGGGCGTATGCAATAGGGTAACAACCCAACAGCACAATTGAGAGACATTTCTCACCCCATAAAGGGAAGTGCTTGAACAAGGATCTTCATCGCTGGATCACCAAGTAATATTTTATTCAAAGCTGCAGATTGAAAAAGATTGAAAACAAATTTTGGAATTGTATTGACATGTTAATGCTAATTTGAGATTTTAGTGATTGGTTTTAGATCTACTTCAAAATTAATTGTTTCTCTTTTGTAGGTTCTTTGGTATGTCTCTGCCTTCTGAACAATATACTAATTAACAGGCAAATATACTGTAAGGAATGTAGTCACGAAACTTACCTCTGCATACAAGATTAGCTCCATCCCATTTTCCATCTTCATTACACGTAGCAATCTCATGCCCACTAGCCATAATGTAACCAGGTAAACAATGAAAAAAAAGTGTACTTCCATATGTAGTGTTCCATAGCTGCGCTGCCATTGCATTTTGAATTGAAGGTGGAGATCCACAATCTGCAACTGTTACCATTATATTAATATATACAGTACCTATACAATTACATATACAGCATAGTACATTCTATATGTTCATTATTTGAAATATAAACGGAATTAATGCAAAGCCTTGTGCTCAGGAGTATTTAATAAATTAAAGATCAAAACTACTATTTTAGCTTGGTATGAGAATAAATGTTCTGAATCATTTGACACCTATGTTTTATTCTTTAAGACTGCCAGGGGTCTCAAACTCAATTCACTTGGGGGCCACTGGACAAATTTGTGAAGGTCTCTTTGTATGCAATGTCAGTATGTTTTGTGTATTGTCAGGATTTCTGTGAGTGATGTCTGTATCTGTGTTAATGTTTCTGTGTGCGTTGTATCAGTATGTATACATGTGTTTTATAACCTCATGTAATCATTTCACATGCCATTACATGCTGTGTGCAGACGTTTACATGCATCGGTTGTCACCTGATTATTAACTTGAATGGGTGACAGCTGCCGCTTGTAAATGCATATTATAGAGAACAATGGCTCTTGTGCCAGCACACAGTGGCCTTTTGGGGTCTTCCAGTGTTCCATGTGCATCCCACGGTGCTCTAGAACAGGCCTTCTTAAATTTTCTCCACTCGTGACCCCTTTTTGGCCGAGGACATTTTTAGGGGACCCCAGCATCGGACGGTGTCTCTCCCCTCTTTCCCTCAATGTTGGTGTTTCCCCCTCCCCTAGCGTCAGTCGCTGTCTCTCCTCCTCTCTAAAACCTTCCTGCACGCACGTGCTCAGGAAGGTACCAAGTGCACAGGGGACCCCCCTGTTCACTTGTGGGACCCCATATGGGGTTGCGACCCACACTTTAAGAAGCAATGCTCTAGAAGACCTTAGTTTAGGTCTGCCCACTGAGTAACAGTGGTTATGGTGTCCTATAGTCCTGGAAACACAGGCTTACAATGGCAGGTGTATTCCAGCACTAAGCCCAGGAGCTGAATCAGTCAGATCCTGGGCTTGCTAACCTGCTATGAGTCACTCAGTAAGAGTTCTCCATAGCAGCATAGGAGAAAACAATGCTTTAATATTGTTTTCTAAGGGATGATACTATTATCATTATTTTTTTATTGTGTTGCAATATAACTTTAAAAATAGAGATAAATCTGTCTATAATAAACCTTTCTCTCTGTTGTTTTGTAACATAGCAACCAGGAAAGGGAACTCTTCAAAAACAGCATTCCTTGAAGTGTGCAGGGTTTGTCTAAAATAAAGGTAGGACACTATTATATTACTTTCTAATACCATCCTAATGTATCATTTACAAGCAAATTTGCAAGTTGTTGTAGAGCCCACTGAATATGTCAGTGGTTAAGGGCTCCTATATTTAAAAAAAATTGACCATTACTGATCTATAGAGACGCGTGACTCCATCATGTGGTTTTATAACAACTGTTAAAGCTAGACAGAACTGGAGATTTTGATGCAGATAGCTTGCCCATGATACCTTAAATTGTACAAAATGGCGTTTTTCACAGTTTTATACCAATCAATTGGTAAACACTCATTTTTATAATGTTTCTGAATATATTCTTTCCTGGAATATATATATTTTTTCCTTAATCCTATCATGTTGCAAGGCTCTGTTGGATAAACACTGAGCATTATTTATAACCAGTATCTTTTTATCCTATCTGCAAGTATTGTTCCTTACCTTTACACACCAAATTAGCACCTTCCCAGTGTCCTGAGTCATTGCAGACCGATGTATTGTATCCACTCTCTACAACAAATCCTTTTGAACACGTAAATGTAACTTTGCTTCTGTAAGTGCTGCTGTTGAATGAGTCAATTACAGTATGCGGCATAGCTTGTGGGAGTCCACAATCAACAGCTAAAAAACAAAAATAGATTGCATAGAACTAAAGTTACAAGCTGTTGTGTGGCCCTCGGTATGTGTCAGGGGTTAAGGGCACTTATCATTTTGTTAAAATTACCATTACTGATCTATGGGGAAGTGTGATACCATTATGTGGTTTTGCCACAACTGTTGAAGCTGGACATAAATGGAGATTTTGATGCAGATAGCTTTCCAATGTTACTTTCAATTTTGCAAAATGGTGTTTTTCACTGTTTTACACCAATCCGCTGGCAATATAATACACTACTTTTTTACAATATTTCTGAATATATTTCCTATCACGTTGAAGGGTTTTGTTGAGCACTATTTATAACCAGTATCATTTTACCTTTTATGCAAGTAGTGTTCCTTACCTTTACACACCAAATTAGCACCTTCCCAGTGTCCTGAGTCATTGCAGACCGATGTATTGTATCCACTCTCTACAACAAATCCTTTTGAACACATAAATGTAACTTTGCTTCTGTAAGTGCTGCTATTGAATGAGTGGAATACAGTATGTGCCATAGCTTGGGGGAGTCCACAATCAACAGCTAAAAAACAAAAATAGATTGCATAGAACTAAAGTTACAAGCTGTTGTGTGGCCCTCGGTATGTGTCAGGGGTTAAGGGCACTTATCATTTTGTTAAAATTACCATTACTGATCTATGGGGAAGCGTGATACCATTATTTGGTTTTGCCACAACTGTTGAAGCTGGACAGAAATTGAGATTTTGATGCAGATAGCTTGCCAATGTTACTTTCAGTTTTGCAAAATTGTGTTTTTCACTGTTTTACACCAATCCGCTGGCAATATAATACACTACTTTTTTACAATATTTCTGAATATATTTCCTATCACGTTGAAGGGTTTTGTTGAGCACTATTTATAACCAGTATCATTTTACCTTTTATGCAAGTAGTGTTCCTTACCTTTACACACCAAATTAGCACCTTCCCAGTGTCCTGAGTCATTGCAGACCGATGTATTGTATCCACTCTCTACAACAAATCCTTTTGAACACGTAAATGTAACTTTGCTTCTGTAAGTGCTACTATTAAATGAGTGGATTACAGTATGTGGCATAGATTGTGGGAGACCACAATCAACAGCTTAAAAAACAAAAATAGATTGCAAACTTTTTTTAGAACTCATTATTGGTCATAATAATAATTTGCAGTAAAAGATATAGATGTTTCTCTGTATCAGAAGACAAGGGTAGTATTGTTTGTAAAGTCAACACTGGAATGACACAATGCTGTACAATAAAAGATTTACATATATATTAGCAATAATTATATTTATTGCCCCTAGTAAGTAACAATATTGTTGCTCTCCAAACCCTACTCCACAGAAGCGATGCGCATTAGTGATTTTAGTTGGATGGTAGGGGTTTTATAAGTGCCTTTAACCTACCACTGTGTAGGGTAAATGGTTGTACTGTCTCATTGCACCCAACCCCCTACAAGCCTGAGCGACTATGCATTAAATAGATGGCTCTATATTTGTTTTGTGTCTGGCAAAGCAAAACAGATTTGCATGCCTATGTAGCCCCCCTGTAGGCAGGAGTGCTACTAAATGTAGTATTTTCAGATTGTATGCAGTTTAATGCTGATTTGTAGTCTAGGTTCATTTGGTTTCCCCTAATCAATCTATCATTGTTTGCATCTGTCTGCTGCTGGGTCACAGAGCAGAGCAACCAATGAGAGATTGCTATGAGTAGATATCCCTCTCCAGCCAATCACTGTGAGGGTAATGGCCAGTGGTGCATGCTGAGGGAGGAGATAAATACTTGGGGTGGACCACGTGAGCTCTTCTCTTTCTCCCCCTGGCCCTGCCTGTGGGGAGGCTGCTATGGACTGTCTGAGATTGCTTGGCCTGAAGCCTGGGGACTAGCCATGTTCTTACACTGGAGCCTGAGTCTGGAGGCCGTGTGGTCACTGCTGATGACAAGAATGAACATGACTGATGACTTCCACCCCCTGTGCTGCTGTGCCAGGTGTTCTTCCTGCTGGGAATGGAGACAGCTACCACACTCTGCCATTTAAAGGAGTCTACTCTGGATGATCCTAACCCTCAACCTCTCTCCCTGAATTTCTACAATAAAGTTCTCAGCATCATATCTACAGTCTGGACATCGCTTTAATCGATCACCATAGAGGGCGGTAAGTGCTGATGGGAAAAGTGAGTGAAATTATCTCTAGAAAAGGATGATATTGAAGCAGCAGTTGGTTGTGAGGACATAAACATTGGATGCAAGGTTAATTAGCTGCACTACTTTTTTGTCTAAGGTTGGCCATAAATGACTTAGCAAGTGATGCCCCTGATTTTGAGCATACACTCTCAACAGTCAAAAACAAACTTATTCGAGAAGGCAAAAGGACAGGTTTTTTCAGCGTGTCCTAATCTTTCACTCTTCTTTGGAGAAGCATCAAGTGTCAGGTGGGGGAGCATCAGGTGAAAACTGCAGGGGTCCTGGAGCTGGAACAAGTGTTATAGGACAAGCATGCATAGCTCCTGGTCTGTGGTACCCTTGTTGCCTTCTGTCTGTAGGTTCACAGCATATGTGATAGTTATGAAATGCACTCTAAAGTGTAGACCTGACTTAAAGCAAATCTGTAATGAGTGCAAATGGGGGCAGCTATTGCTGACCTAAGAAAACAAAAGTCAGAACTCCTGATCTGCATACTGAAGTCTGTGCCTATAGAAATCATTGGATCTGCATGACAGCCTGTTAATAAGCATTTTCAAAATGAGAGTTCAGCAATGACAGCCTTCATATTCTCAGTCAAGCTTGCTTTTAGGAATGTAAAGTTGTGGCCCTTGTCAAACAATGCTCAAAACTTTGCAAAATTCACATAGTTTGTGCCAGAAGTTTGTGACATCATAGGTCATCATTTGAGTTGAAAGGGCCCACTATATTATCTTAGACCTAAAACCAGTTTGTTTGCAGATCGGCAAACGGGCAAACTAACTGCTCGCCTGAACGCCTGGTTGCTGCAGCCGACAGTAATTCATTTAGTGGAGTCATCACTGCTGCCACTAAATGTTTGACTTCACACTATCTTGTTTCACAAGGTAAACAAGGCGGCAGGGATCCTGGGTGAGTTCATTGACCAAATATGGTCATGACCACATTGATCAATGGCGTCAACCATGTTCCTCATCACTTAGCTGACATTCCAGCAGCATCTGGAAACTGTCATTTGTGATATTGTGTCATGTCGGTGGGTGACATTGGGTTTGCATTAGGGAACATTGTTTGTTTTTTTGTTTAATATCTAAAGAACTTTTTCTAAGATGTGGGTGTTTCTATCTACTGCTTAACCTTAACACAAACTGAAAGCCACCCCTGTGAAGTCTATTGTAAATAGTTTGTACATTTTATTGTCAAGCCCAGCTATGGGCACCAAGTGTGCTCCTGCATACACCCCCCTGATCTGTCATTGTATCTGTCCAAGATCATCTCTTTGTGTGATACACTGACAATGTTTTATGTTCATTCTTTGGACAGGCACAAAAGACATAAGGTCGTTTGTGGACTTATTTTGTAAAATCAATTACATTTAAAATTCACTGGCACTTATGACGAAAGAAAGGTTATCTTTTCAGATTTGATAACTGAGATAGGAGTAGGAGGCCTTCTTATTATGAAACTTTTCAGAAAAGCAACAGTTTACTACATGCAGGGAGTTACATTCGTGAACCCCTGGTTAAGAGCATAACAGTGGGACAGTATCTGTGGGCTCACAGAAACTACACCCATCTGGAAGAATAGGTCCAGATTTCTCAGTATGGGATATTAAAAAAATGCCTTAAGATGCTTATCAAAGGGCCAACGGTTGAACATGAGAGGATTTACTGTATAAAACAGATCATAGGAAAAGAGATTATTAAGAATATTAAGATTATGCTTGCAGTACACAAATATTTCACAGCTGGTACACAGTATTTGTCAATATATTGTTATTTATTGACTGATAACTTAGTTAAGGGGTTCCTTAACTACTTATTATAAACTCGTATGATCCATACAAGACATTTTGGTACATAACTACTTTAAGAATGGTACATAACTACTTTAAGAATGCCATATGCCATATGCCATATGCCATATGGCCAAAAGAGCGGATTCACAAGATGTGGTAAATGTGATGGCATCCACTGATATGTACACACGTATGGAGATAAATCATGATGAAAATATTTCTTGAAATATTAGGATTTTGTGATTTATACATAATGAAATATAGTATGAGAATTAAAATTTATGTGCATTCTTATAGTATTTAGAGACTGAATATTGGTAATATAACACATATAAATACACGTAGAGTGTAACGATACATGTGGCTCTCCATCACAGTGTTTATTAAAGAAGAACACTGGGAAAAACGTTTATTAACCCTTGCACTGGGGCTTCCCCTACACAGCAAGGGTTTCCTGTAATGTATCTCTAGAGGAGAAGTTCACCCTAGGACATGAAGTATGTTAGTAATACAGAACGCCTCCTCCTCATTTCCATACCATTGAGGATGTTCTGTAGTCTGCAACGATATCAGGGAACAATGCTAATAATAGTGCAACAGAAAGTTATCAGCTTGCTAGTTTCCTGGCAGGATCAACATACTGCACTTATTGAACATATATAACAAAAAGAGAGCAAATAAGAGAAGTTTATTGTAAGGCTTTACATATACTTAGAAATTTTGCATAATTGGCAGATTGTTGGACAGGTTTATTGTATGGTAATCTTTGCACCTTTGCACATAACAAATTTGCTCCCTTTCCTCCATAAAATCCTGCACATTAGTGACGTTCTGGATAAATCCTCTTCATAAATTAAAATGAAACAGCTACTCACCTTTACAGTTCATTACTAGCCCATGCCATAAACCGTCATCTGAGCAGAGAGCTGTGTCGTTCTGATTGTTCTCAACAATGAATCCATCGTCACACCTGTATATCACCTTGCTTCCAAATGTTGTGAGACTTACGGTGTCTGTGTGCGTATTTTGCAAAACTGGTGGCTGTCCACAGTCAACAGCTTAAAAATTAAGTACAAAATGATTTAGCTTACAGTTTTCTGAAATTACTTCTATATAATACATTCTAGCTATACTACATATTTTGATTATGGACAGCTAACAAAATGTATAAGAAATATATAGGACTCTTGTATGGACCATGGGTACTAGATGGGGTTCCACCCAAGAATATTGATGGCAACCTTCGTTTTGTAAATTCTCAATGTTAATGAAGTTTTAATGACTGCAGGTACCAGCTATAGTAATCTGGTACCATATAACCATGAATAAAGACAGCAAGCTATGGAGGTATTTGAATCAGCACATTACAAACTAAGAAAAAGAAAATAAATAGTTACATTTTATTTAAAAAGCTGCATAAGCAAACAATGCTGCCTCCAGTGGATCAACCCACATCCACTCTCCTTTCTTATCCCCAACTCAGCAGCCTTGCCCAGCTGAACAGCAATGCAGGTAAACAGATAGAGTTCACGGTGTGGAGTAGAGCGCCATGAGATTTTATTCAAATAAGCACCTTACTGGAGAAAGCCTTAACGGGTTTGATGCTAAGGCGCTTAGCCATAAGGCAGGCTTATGACTAAGCACTGAAGCACAAAACACATCAATACTTTTTCTGCTGTAAGGTGCTTATTTGAATAAAGTCTCCTAGTGCCGTACTCCATATCATCAGTGTGCCTGCAATCTAAAAAAGATATTTGACATTTTTTTATTTGATTTTTATGTTTCTTAGTTCATCTACTCCATATGAAATATTTTTGTAAAACATAGCTTTTTTGGCAAACCTTTATTTATGATAATCAAAAGCACCATACATATTGAGATGTACAAACATTAGAATTCTTGGAGCATATGAACATAATGCATTAGAACAATACAGGTCATTATAACTTGAAACAGAAAAAAAAGAAAAATAAGCAGTGATTGAGTAATACTTCTTTTCTTAGCAATAGCTTGAAAATAGACGTGATGGAATAATAGTCTTGCTTTTTAATATAATTTCTTATTATTTAATGCCAAATAATGTCAAAGTCAAGAAAGTCAAGACAGCCTGTTTGCAAATTCTCAATATGAAGGAAAAAGTAAATAAAAACTAGTGAAGTTCAAAACTAAGCAAAAAAGGAAATGATAATGTTGCCACTTTTCTTCTTCAGCTTTCCTTCATTGAAAATATTGGAAAATGTGAGGCTTTGAACACATTTAAAACACAATTTGCCATAGGATAATCAGTCAGAATGTCTTTCTTGACTAGTTTAATTCTGCAAGCTAGATTTGTTTTTTTATTAGTTTCACTTTTGACATAATATGGAAATCGAGTGAAGAAACTGCTTAGAGAAGCTTCATAAATAATCCCAAATACATACATACATGGCATAAAGAAATAGAATATATAAAGTTTCCATTTAACCTAATAGAAAGTACCTTTCAACAGGTTGGCAAGCAGTTCTCTTTGTGTGGTTGCCAGCATATATTATTCAATGTAGTGCGGGAAATGAGGGGTGTTTAATATTTTGTTGTAGTTTATGTGCTTACATCTGAAGGCAGGACAGAGATATGCTTGGTGCATCAAAACTGTATTTAGTATTTAACAGAACTAAGACATTTCTGGCCAGTATTCTAACCAACAATACAGCATTGTACACACTGACCAGTGATGGAGCTATGGAATCACAGGACAGCCGTACAGAGGAGGCAGCACTAATCCTGCTCCGAGAACCTGCACCAGCTACTTAAGGTTGACTGCCTGTTCCTAACATGCATAGAAGATGGTGGGCCCATCTTAGAAGATGCATAGAAGATGGTGGGTACCTAAAAGTGTAAAAGCTTTTTTACTTTAGGATTTCCCTGGTAAGAAAGTCAGTGGAGTTGTGCCCAGACCAGAGTTTTCCCTGAGAAACATTGTTCTCTAAGCAAATGGGATGACTCACAAATAGAAGAGTTGCAAGAAACTGGTATTGCTGTGTATTGCAAGTATTTCAAATGAATAAACACATTGGGGTTGATTTACGAAAGGCAAATAGGCTGTTCACTTTGCAAGGGAATTTGCACTTTTCAGGGGAAGTTTCCCTTAGCTTAGTGAAAGTGGTGAAAATTAATTTTGTAAAGAATACCCAATTATGTGCAAGGAAATTTAAAAAACAGCATTTTTTTATTGAACGTGATTGGATCATGGAGGTCGGCAGAGCTTCCCGTCAATCACTAAACTAAGAGCAAACATCCCCTGCAAAGTGCAAATTCCCTTGCAAAGTTTCCAGGAAGGAAGCTAGTGAGCCTGGTACCTAAGAAAAATTTTGTCCAAGAAAATTATTCTGGATTTGCTTAGTCACTGTTGTCTTTTAATCTTGTGTTCAATTGAAGTTGTAAAGAGGAATTGAACTCTGAAAGCTGTGTTAAAAAAAGGTATACAAAGGACTGGTCACCAGTATTGCCTGTGGTCTCTTTAAGATGACATTTCCTTTATTACCTACTTACTATGCCTTATTCTGCACTGTGGGTCTGTGTGGAAGTGACCATCTAGGTAGAGGCGGCCATTTTGACAGTGACAGAGCATTGCTTCCTTATGTCAAAGCCTCCAGGAAGGAGAACAGTGAGCAGACAAATCTCACTCCAAATGTTCTAAGACCAGCATTCAGATGCAGTAATGCCTTATTCTAACAATACAGATATTCAGCTGTGAGCCTGTGGGCACAGGAGTACCTAGGCACCCTCACATATCAGAACATGCACTGCTATTTTTCAGGAAAATTCTAATGTTCAGGAAAATAAAATGTTCAGGATACTGCTTAGGCACAATCAGCATTTCAAAATTTTCCTTTGTAACACAACAAATTTTCACTTTTTGAGTTCAGTTCCACTTTAAAGTTGTGATTATAAGCTGATATAATTATACAATATGTATATATAAATATATATAATGCAATATTTGTGTCCATTGTCTAAAGCATTAATTTGCTTTGCTGACAAAAAGGGATTTTTTTCATGGCATTATTTAATCATGTACCCAACACTAGTGGCCCACAACCTTTTTGGCACCAGGGACTGGTTTAATGGAAGAAAATTTGGGGGGGGGGGGGGGGGGGGCGGTGCTTGGGGGCGAGGTCAATCCAGTGCGGCTCTCAGGTGGCCAGTGTGGCTCTCAGGTGGCCAGTGCAGGCTTTCAGATGGTCAGTGGGGCTCTCAAGCGGTCAGTGCGGGCTCTCAAGTGGCCAGTGCGGGCTCTCCCGTGATCAGTGGGTCTCTCAGATGGCCAGTGCGGCTCTCAGGTGGCCAGTGTGGCTCTCAGGTGGCCAGTGCAGGCTTTCAGATGGTCAGTGGGGCTCTCAAGCGGTCAGTGCGGGCTCTCAAGTGGCCAGTGCGGGCTCTCCCGTGATCAATGGGTCTCTCAGATGGCCAGTGCGGCTCTCAGGTGGCCAGAGGGGCTCTCAGGTGGCTAGTGCAGGCTCCCCAGTGGTCAGTGGGGCTCTCAGGTGGCCAGTGTGGCTCTCAGGTGCGGCTCTCAGGTGGTCAGTGGGGCTCTCAGGTGGCCAGTACAGGCTTTCAGATGGCCAGTGGGGCTCTCAAGCGGTCAGTGGAGCTCTCAAGTGGTCAGTGCAGGCTCTCAGGTGGCCAGTGTGGCTCTCAGGTGGTCAGTGCGGGCTTTCATTTGGTCAGTGGGGCTCTCAGATGGCAAGTGCGAGCTTTCAGGTGGTCAGTGGCACTCTCAGGTGGTCAGTATGGGCTTTCAGGTGGTCAGTGGGGCTCTCAGGTGGCAAGTACGGGCTCTCAGGTGGTCGGTGGAGCTCTCAGTTAGCCAGTGCGGGCTTTCAGGTGGCCAGTGCGGGATTTCAGCTGGTCAGTGGAGCTCTCAGATGGCCAGTGCAGGCTTTCAGGTGGTCACTCAAGCTCTCAGGTGGCCAGTGTGGGCTCTCACCAGGGATCCAGAGAGTCTCACTGGTGGCTGTGGGCGCAGCAGACGCGGCTCTTTAATCAGGCGGCCACCCGTTCCTCACTAGGGCCCCAAGAGGCCCCAGGGAGCAGCCTTCTAATATGCCTGATTGTTGCTGGCCAGTGTTTGCATATTATTTTACAGGAATGTGTTATCACAGTAAATATCTTTTATATGAGTGTTCCCACTGCCTGCATACTAATTCTGGGGCAGCTAAGCACCTGTAAAGCATCACTGCGAGTAACTCATCTGCCTTGAAGCTAGTGTACATCTTATACATCTCGGAAGTCAGAAGATGGCAGCTTCATGCAGAGAGGTTCTGTTTTTTTATTTTTAATGAATATAATTGGCAACAAGATGTTTTACTGTGCACGAAGCACCGTGTGTTGATAAAGGTAACAGCTGCTAGATTTGGTTTGTGACAGGCTCTCTTTAAATTTTTAAAAAGGCATAGCAGGTAGAATTATTGTATAAAAATTACTGCAGGGCAAGAGTAGTGGGTGCCATCACAATATGTCATTCTCCATCTGCAGTGTAGGATCTAAAAGCAAAAACATCCCTATAGGCAAACTACTGTTTTGCATTCATCTGTATAAATAGTTCTAACTTCCCCGTTTAATTCTACCAGAAGTTATCTAGAGGTAAAATAGACAGATAAATACAATATATTTGCACTATCAATATAAACAATATTAATTGCTCAATATGTTTTAACTTGTCTCAGAAGTCAGTTGGACATGAATGTATTCTATTTCTCTTTCAGCTCACCTTCACAGGTTAAATTGACATCTTCCCAAGTTCCGTTAGCTGTGCACATAGATGTGTTCTGTCCATCCTTTACATGGAAACCAACCATACATTTGATGGTCACATAGCTGCCAAATGTGGTGTTGCCTAATAAGAGAATTTCAGAGTGGGGGACAGCTGGTGGCAGTCCACAGTCAACAGCTGCATATAGAAAAATGTAAATTAGCAAGTAAACATACAGAGACATTTCTGAACTGAAAAAAGAGTTGAGTTTATTATTTTGCATAGCTTGTATAAGGTAAGAGTGTACAGCAAGCTAGTGCAAATAATATAACCACTGAACAATCACTTTCTCAAACAATCATCCCCGCACAGCTACCTCCTCATGTGTCACTTGCCCCTCCCTTTTAGATTGTAAGCCCTCACGGGCAAGGCCCTCCTTACCATCTTGTCTTAAATTGTATTGTGACTGTAATGTCTTCCTTATATTGTAAAGCGCTGTGCAAACTATTGGCGCTATATAAATCCTGTATAATAATAATAATAATAATAATATGTAAAGTTTCAATTTGTTTGCTTGAAATCTGTAAAGCAACCTTTAGTTCCAGTTTGAGGATTTTAAAGTGTATCTAAACCCCAAAACACGTATGTAACACTGTGTATTGTAACTTACCTGCATTACTTTTTTCAAGATTTTTTCCCTTTTTTTTTCAGTTCGTAATCATATCAGTAACGCACTTCCTGTGATTAGGTGACAATGCTCACTTACTCTATCAATGGAGGAGCAGAAGGCACTACAGAACACCTACAGTTCTCCTCACCTTAAACAAACAACTGGCAGGCTTCAGCAGACCTTTTACATGTTTTAAGTATTGTTTAGGCCTCCTTAAAGAAAAAAACTTACTTTTGCAGTGGGGCTACCCCAGCACTGAAAGGGTTAGGTGCATTTTTGTTAATTTGAGTCCCCTAGACAAAGTGTGCAGTAAACCCTTGCAGTGCGGGGGTAGCCTCACTGCAAGGATATGTTTTTTGTTTGCCCAGAGTTCTTCTCTGGGCAAACAAAAAGATAACATCCGATTTTTATTTCTTTTTGGCCACAACCCCCCCTCATTCTCATCCTGTCGACTAAAAAAAGTTAGTAAAGCACAACTCACCTTCTCCACACTCCAGCACTGCCCTCCATATCCTGCTACATCATCCAACACTGTCCAGCTTCATTTAAACTGCTTCCTGGGAGCCCACCCTGTCAATGACACAGCCACTTGCAATGGACCAGCTTGCAATGGAAAGCTACATAGACCTGCACTCAAATGTCATAACATGAGCTTTGGTCTATACAGGAGAAAGAACCATCCACTGCAGCCACTAAAGAATAGGGACCCTGGTTTGTCACATAGTAAAGACAACAAAATTCAAGGTGTGTATTGTGGAAAATCTAAAAAATTTATTGTGGAAATGTTTTCAGGTGTG